CTTGACTGACCAAAAAATTCGATGAATTTCGAACTTTCGGACTTATTTATCAAGAAACTTCGAAAAGTTTCCAACTTTCGAATTCTGAAAAGTCAGAATTTCGACGAACTTCGAACTTTTAGGGTAAAAGTTCGACGTTCGTCGAACTTCGAAAGACCAGCGGACGGTTTCATTTGAATTCAAGTAGTGAGGTACATTCATAGTTTTTTTTTTTTCTCGAACTTTTACACGCGATGCTGCGTTCCTTACGAAAGACAATGGCGTTTGGTTCAATGTTCTGGCATGCTTAGTTTTAACGAAATAAATTTCCGAAGGGGCGAGGAAGGACGACGGGTTTTTGATGATTATCGTTTGTGCCAGATTTGAAGCGCGCTGTAGCCAAAGCTATTTGTGGTAGAGATGTTATACTTTTTTTAGGTGCCGTCTTAAGATGTGATTATTGTTATTCAACGTGAGTTTCGAAGGAATGTCCAAACATGTATCTACATGCAATTATGCCCTAAACTTGATATTTATTTTCGTTTAAGTTGTTTGAGGTATCGCATTTATAAATTAACACCACAGACAATACATATCATTGCCATCTGCAGAATACAAAATAATGTATTTATTGTTTTTTCACGTTAAGGAATAAATTAACTCATGGAAGAAGATTTCTAATAGTGTTCAAGTTCAACACGTCATTGAAAGAAAACTTTTTTTTTTTTTCGCTTCACGACCCTGGGACGTGTTTCTACTTTTAGCCTGTACACATTTTGGTAAAAGAAACTTGTTTCGAAGTTCTGAACCTCTGAATACGCAAGAATACAACACTTCCGGCGAATTCTTGATAGTTTTTTTTTTCTCCAACTTTTTATCCCCGCATTTATTCTTTTTTTTTTTTTTTTTTTTTTTTTTACTATTGGCACAGGTATTTAGGTCGAAAAGACAGCTTTGAACTTTCGAACCACATGTGACGAGTAGTGCCTTCTGAGAACGAGTTTCTAACAATGACCATCTACGCAATCTTTTATGCAGTGAAGAGCGACAGTAGCTATACATATGCATAAATAATTTCAGATTAAAATAAGCTCGACCACGCCCTCTTTCCCCGTATTGTTTTCTTTAACAGTCCGAAATATCTGGAAAGGGGAGGGGAAAGGAACTGAAGCCCCCCCCCCGCTACCCTCTTACCCCCCGTTTTTCCTCTTCCGTCGCCACTTGTATGGTAGAACGCTCCTCAACCTCGAGTTGTGTCGGCTTTTTGCGAGACGATTCCTCCGTCCCAGAGAATAAACCTCCAGGACAATTAAAACTTAACTTACTATATGCCAGCGTCACCCGGGAGGCGTTCGATCAGATTGCTACCAGCGTGCAAGGGGTGGCGAGGTAGTTTGCCAGGTCGCTTCAAGGTTTTTCTGAGCCTCAACCTCCTGCCCGCCCCTGGCCGTTTCAAACTGGATGAGTCTCGTAAAACAGTATGTTCGTGTGATCACTACTGCGTGATGAAGGTTAAAGACTCCCCCCCCTTCCCCACCCCGGGCTGGCGGTCACGATTACTGAACCATGGTCACACGTCACTTTGCACTGGCAAATATTCCAGCACATCCGGGACACTCGTCGCCTCATTTAACTGCGTGACCAACTTCGCAGAATCTAGATCACACCCTAACTTTTCTAAACTTGATTTTGTAAAAAGTGAGTCGTGAAAACGTCATTTGAAACAAACTGTGGAGGAACTTGAAAACCGGACTTCGAACTTTGAAAACTTGGACTAGAAAAAAATTCAAAATCCTCTAAGATTTTTTTCTTCTCGATTTTAGCGTTAAAAGAGAATCGAAACCTTCAAACTTTTCGAACTTTATGCGGAAAGAAATTCGAAATGTTCGAATTGTTCGAACTTCATGTCTATAAAAATTCGAAGCGTTCGAAGTTTTCGAATTTTATTTCCAAAGAATTTCGAAATCTTCGAATTTATCGAACCTGAAGTAAAAAAATATTTGAAATATTCTAATCCGAAATTTTAGAAACCGTGAAAGCTTCGAACTTTTCGAATTCGAAACTCCACCGTGATCGAAAGTTGCGAATTTTTCGAATTCGAACCTCGGTCGGTACGAAAATATCGAAATTTTTCTAAATCGAACCTCAGTTCGCTTCGCAAATATCGAAACCTTTCGAAATCGAACTTGGGGTGGTTCGCGACATCCCTAGTTGAAACAGAGATTGTAACGTGTATTGTACGAGTGTGAGAAATTGTCAATATAAGACTCAAAAGGGAAACTCATTGTTTTTAGTCTTGGCTATTTTGGGCTATACTTTTTTTACGGCTTTGGCTATATTTGGCATGGAGAATAGAAGGGTAGGAGAGGGCATGACGTCGGCCGCGTAGCCTCCACAAGCCATGCTGCCTTGACGCCTCGCCTCTTTCTCATTTTCCTCCTTACTCTCCTCACTTACCATGCCAACGTGACCACATCACGTGACCGCAGCTAGACTTCGTCTTGCTATGGGGTACTAGAATACACCATAGTCTAGACTTCGACCTGATAAATCCTACCGGACGGAGCGCGCGCAAGCCTGCAAGGAGTTCTTCTACAATCAACCATCCATCTCTTTTTTTTAAACTGTGCCAGAACTTGAGTCTGGACAGTTTAAAAGCGTCGATCGTACGGGCTAAGGATCTTAACCTAAAGGTTTTTTTCATGGTGAAGACTCATAAAGTGGACATGCCGTTTAGGGCAAATGCAGATGTCATCCAGGGCTCTGATGTCATCGTACCTTCAGCGTCACCTTTCCCAGCTTCACTTGAACGATCCTTTCAGGGTGAACAATTCAGAAAGTGTGATGGAGTTTCTGACACATTGTAACCCTGGTGCCTGTGATGCGGTATCATTTGACATTGAAAACCTGTTTTATTCTATACCACATGACGGTCTTTTTGTAGCTATTCGTGAGGCCATTGAGGTGTTTGGAGAGGTCAAGTTCCAAAATCAATGTGGGGTTGCCGCGGAAGGTTTTCTAGAGTTGCTGGGCTTTTATTTGGAATCCACATATATTGTTTTTAAAGACGTACAGCTCGTGCAGAAGCAAGGTGTGTGTATTGGTGCGAGTGTGGCTCCAGTGTTAAGTGATTTGTACTTAGCAAACTGTGATAGGGACATTAAGAATAGATTGGAGGCAGGAGTCGTCCATGTATTCAGATTTGTGGACGACTATCTTGTTCTGTTCCGGAAAAAAGGGGAGTCAGAAAGGGCGGTGTTTGTGTCAGATTTTCAGAACTAGCGCCTCGGGCTTGAATTTCACGAGTGAGAACCTGGTGGAGGGTGGTTTGCAGTTTTTGGATCTGAAGTTGGCCCTTCTCCCGTCGCATGTATGTTGGACTTACTGTCCTAGGGCGAAAAAAGGTGTTTTGCCCTATGACTCGAACCACTCCAAGATTATCAAGAGGGGGATCGCCACAACCTGCCTGAACGCGGCCTTAACGAAGTCCTGTCAGCACAGCGTAGCCGAAAGCTTCGGGTTACAAGTGAGGAGGCTAGAGGAGGGAGGCTTTCCCTGTGAGATTATTAAGGGGGTGGTAGAGGGCTTGCTAAAAAAAGTTTCGTGGAGGAGGGAAGAGGGAAGAGAGGGGCAAGCCAGAAAAAAGACCAGTGGTGATACCGTATATACATAACGTAAGCCATAACATCAAAAAGGTAGGGGAAAAGCATGGCATTTCGGTTCTCCTTTCAGCTCCACAGAAATTAAGCAAGCTATGTGGGAGGGTGGAACGGGGTGACACACGGTTGGATATTTGTCAGAAAAAGCACGCAACAAAATACCTAGGATGCAGTGTGGGGTAGTGTACAGAATTCCTCTGTCTTGTGGGAGGGTATACGTGGGGCAGTCGGGGCGATGCGTGAACGAAAGACTGAGGGAACATGCCCTGTCATTGAGGTCAGCCCCCTGTGGCAATCTCGCAGTACATTGCAGTAGGTGTGAGTGTTTACCCTATTTAGACAACACCGTCATCTTGGCACGAAACAAAAGTAGAAAGACAAGGGAGATAACGGAAGCGTTTTTTATTTCCGAGTGTGACGAGGGTACGTGTGTAAGTGCCCCATCGATAACCCTGTTTGAATCGGAGTTATCGTTTTTACGATCATGCATGGTGTAAGAGTAAGAAATGTGATTAGCGACGGTTGGGAACTGAATCAGATGTGTGTCTTGTTGGTTTCGCGGTACGTGTGTTTTGTTTTTTTTCAATAATAAACCAGTTGCAAGTAGCGCTCTGTGGTGTGTGTCTCTCCTACTCGTCCGTCGTTTTTAGCGCTTTTAACCCCTAAACATTTTCAACCAACTAGCCCAAATCCAAACCCCTCTGCATCCATCTCACACGTGACATGTCACGCGCACCAATCGCCAGAGAGATCTGAGGTCACGCTGGGCACAAAATCGTTTAAACTTTTTATGACTAGGCTTCACCAATATTGCAACGTGCCCCCTCCTATACTCCACGACAACTTTTCTTGGCAATGCAGTGGAAGGTACAGGCCCGCGTCCCCTCTCCCATTTTGAGTGTGCGCGGGCTCTCCTCCTCTCCCGGGAAATGGGGAGGAGGAGAGCCTGCGTACACTCAAAATGGGAGAGGGGACGCGGGCCTGTACCTTCCACTGCATTGCCAAGAAAAGTTGTCGCGGAGTATAGTACTTCTAACCTCCTTGATATTTGGGCTATACATCCACATCTCAGTCGTTTGGCTGTTTCTTGGTGGGACTATCTGGCAACACTGCACATTCTCTTTCTGTGCAGAACAAGGAGAGGAAGAACAAAATAACGTTCGATCGGCGGTAGACGTGACGAAGAGGCGGCTGGAGGTCTGGTGGAGGGAGACGCATCGGCGGAGGGAGTGCAATCGATCAGCGGAACATCAAGCGGAAGCGGAAGTCGCGGGAGGCGCGACTGACTAGGCTAGATCCAGTATCCGTTACTGTTGATCACCCGATACAAAGGGAAGAGCCGCAGACTCCAATCCAATCCAATCCAACATGGATGAAAAAGTGCGAAAAGCTCGGCATGCTGCGGCTCAGCGTCTACGCAGACAGCAAGCTTCTCCGGACACCAGGGCGCGAGAAGCTGCTGCAAAGCGTCAAAAACGCCAAGCGGACGCGGAGTTGAGAGCTCGGGAAGCGGCGGCAAAGCGTCAACGCCGACAGCAAGCTACCCCGGAGACGAGAGCTCAGGAGGCTGCGGCAAAGCGTCAACGCAGACAGCAAGCTGCTACCCCAGAGACGAGAGCTCGGGAGGCTGCGGCAAAGCGTCAACGCAGACAGCAAGTTGCTACCCCGGGGACGGGAGGCGCCGATGCTCGGTTCAAGCACGATTCCCTCGACCGGAGCTTTGGGCAGAGCTGCAAGGTATGTGATCGGTTCGACAACGCGTTGACCAATACCGGTAACATACGAAACGAACACTTGCGAGCCATTGCAGTGCTGCAGCAAGAGTTCTCCGGTGGTGGTGATCACAGTGAGTGCGTGGTTTGCTCGACGTGCAAAGACTCCTTGGTAGGCGGCAAGGTCCCTGCAATGAGTGTAACGCACGGTTACCGCTACCCGCCCAAACCAGAGCACCTGCCAGCGTTGAACCGCGTAGAAGAACGATTAATCGCTCCGCGGCTCCCGTTCATGAGCATCAGGTGTTTAGCGCACGGCAACGGGCAGTACGGAATCAAAGGTCAAGTGGTCAACGTTCCGATGCAGGAAACGGTGCAATGCCTTCCTAGAAACATACCCGACGACGCAGCCATCGACGTGCACATAAAGCGACAGCAGATGAGCAAGCCCTCGTCCGGGTTGGTCAAGAAAAGAAACCTGCACGCGTGGTTAAAGTACCTGGAAGACTCACCTCTCTATAAGTACCTAAACATAAAAGTCGGTTGGAGTCTCCTCGCCCAGTTTGACGACGACGTACCTTGCGACGACGACGACGAGAAAATCAGTATCATCAGCACCACCAGAGCTTCGCCCCAATCAACATCATTCACCAAGTGGAGATGCGGTCATTTTTTCATTGTGGTGATTAAAGTACTGCATCGAAGCGAGGGATGATCACAATAATGTTGCTGTGTACATGTCAGGTGACTTTTGTGAAACTTTACGCTATTCTTAGTTCAGGCAGATATTCTTAACTACAGTAAAGAGCATGGACGTATAAGAGACTCTCATTAAGTCTCCTTTGTTATTCATTGTTAACTTTAGAGTAGGTTTCTCACTCATCCGTCGTAAGCCGATCGACCTCTTTCGGAAAATTGACACCATCCAGTGGCTAGAGCTCTAGCTGTTGCGTCAGGTTGGCTCACCAGCTTGCTCGAATGGATTACATATTCAAAGCTCTGACGGCAGTTTTAAAAATGTGTGCCGGAAACCTTCTATACATACTGACCTACCCCGTCGGCTGATACTTCACCATATCTTTGAGACTGCACCTGTCTCCCTTCATGTTCTTTTCTGCACATATCCTTTCTCTCCAATCTCAGATATGGGATCATGCATTCATTTATGCCCTTTTAGTGTGCGACAAACATGCTCTAGTGTTGTGTTTCCTGGAGTACACATGCTTAAAAGCTGAAAGCGTGCGTCGTGCAAACTACCGGCAGGCGCGGGCTATACAAAAATTTGTTTTTCTAGGTAGTTGAATACGACGGGATGTGATGAATTTGCTGAATGATGGAGTATATGGACCACGATTTATGTTTGGCACAAGCTTCTTCGCGAGCTAATAATGCAGGCATTTGCAAAGGTGTGCTTTGAGCGTAAAATTTTCGGTGGACATCCACCTGGTTAAGGATGGCAGGGAATAAAAACTCTAATCAAAGAATAACACGAAGCCTGACATTGCAAGGCCAGTTCGGCCCCTTGTTCACGGGTGACTGTTTTCGTTCTTGTCGTCGTCCTGCAAATTGCCCGGTGTTGTTTCTGTGTGGTCAAAACCTGCTGCGTCGCATAAGCCACCGTGTGCGGCGTGAAGAAAACCGAGAAACAGCTGGTGGCAGCGTATCAACGTCTTTATTCGGTTGTGTTCTGCAATATATAGTTTTCTGAGCGGGAGGAGGATAGGGTGAGGGAAAGGGAGAGGAGGAACGACGGGGTACCGACTATCTCTGGTTTCGGCGAACGGAAGAAACGAAGCCAGCATTCGCGGGAGTGACAATGCAGAAATAAAAAGCTAGTGACAATACAACAAAACCAGTGAAATCAACAACCTTCACCACCACTTAAACTCCATCGCACCGGCGATACAATTTACAATTGAGCTGGAGTCTGACGGTTCTCTTCCATTCTTGGACGTACTCAAGAAGAGAAATTCGAACCGTTTGACATTCGAAGTTTACAGAAAACCGACACACACCTGTCGATACCTGAACTTCTCGTCCTACCACCCTGCAACGCACAAATCTGTGGCTTCTGCACTCTTCAGGCGAGCAATTACTGTCTGCTCGATTGAAGAGGCTCTTAAGAAAGCGGTCACAACGATCAAACACGACCTGAAACAGAACGGGTATCCTGCCAGATTTTTGAACAACACATACAAAAAACCTAGACACAGTGAAACAGAAGACGCCCCTCCTCTACCCAACCGCATATGCGTCCCGTACATCAAGGGCCCAAGTGAGACTCGCGCGCGCGTTTTACGGAAATACAGCGTCGGTGTGGCACATAAACCGGTGTCCACCATTGGACGCCCCTTCTCACTTCCAAAGGATCGTCGCTCTAAAGAAAAGGCTCAGAGACTCGTCTACAGGATCCCCTGTGGTGACTGTGCCGCCTCCTACGTTGGGCAAACTAAAAACTTCTCGGAACGTCTACGCCAGCATCAGTATGACGTCAAAAAGAATAACGTGCAGAGTAGCGCGCTGGCAAAACACGTCCAGAAAGGGTCACACGATCGGATTCCACAACTGCTCTATTCTTGGCACGGAAAGAAACTGGCAAAGACGCCTTTTATTAGAGTCCTGGTACATTCAGAACACCGAAAATAATGTCAACCGATCAGCTGGAACACTTCCGAGCACCTACGTGTCCGGTTTGCGGTGCGTTACGAGAGGCGCTACGAACCATAAAACGTGTGCAGAAACAACAGCCACTTTAAAGAAGCCAACAGCACCGGGTAATTTGCAAGACGACAAGAACAGAAACGGTCGCCCGTGAACAAGAGGCCGAACTGGCCTTTAAACGTCGAGCTCCGTATTATTTTTTGGCTAGAGTTTTCCTTTCATTCAAGGTGTGCTCTGTACAATAATTGCTTACATGCTGATATGCACCAGGTGTGGGCTATACATTGGGTGCAGTCTATAGTTTGGATAATATGGCAGTATGTGCATTATGGCTTACAAATGCTGTAGGCTTCTGGTCTGCTTTACCAGACCATTGCTCAGACTGGGACTGATTGCTTGGCTCTGAACCTTTCTCTCCAGGCTTGTATATGGTATCTGACTTGTCTCCCTTCTGCAGGTAGCAGGTGGTTGCAAGGAAGGGCCCGCAACTCCGAAGGCGGACGAAGTGATTGGCAGGCTCACGAATGCAGACGTCGACAACGTACGAAAAGCAAAGCCAGTCCGACGGAAAGCTAGACTCGCGGATCAACAGCGCGCCACAAGGGACGAAGAAGAGGATGGCACGTCGAGCCACCCTGTCACCGAAGTTCCGTGCGACCAGCCCCAAAACCAGCTTCTGTCACGATCCAAGACCTCCACTCCGCTGGGAACACCAAGGCCGCCGTCTGCCTCGGCCGACGGACAGCAGCAGACGACGGCCAGGCAGACGACTCCGCTCCCCAGTTCGTCCGGTCCTGGGAAGGTAATGTCCTGGAGCGGCACAGTTTGTTCTAGACAATCTGCTCTCAGATCACTGTACTGTTGAGCGGCAGCCATTGGACCAACTTGTGCCCCCCTTTCATGTGTCTTGCGGTGAGACAGTCAAAAGCTACAAACTTTGTCAGAAGTAATGAACACTCTTTGGATGTAGGCGGGAGGTGTGGATTTAGTTGTGGATCTATGCACGACTCATTTTTGACTCTATGCACGTAGGCGCCTTCCCCGCTCCCAGCCTCCCTGGCGCCACCCGCGATCACGAAGGTGGAGCCGGGGCTGGCGTCGGCCGCTCAGAGCGGTGCCACGCCCCCGCTCAAGGGCCTGGTGGACGAGTTGGTGCAGCTGTGCCACGAGGAGGAACTGATCCGGCTGCAGACGGCCGCGGTCGAGCAAAACATCGCCAGCGTCACCCTCGTCCTCGAGGAACTCAAGAAGAAGAGGGTCGAGGTGAGGAAAAGGGCCGCGTCGTGCGGAGCACCGGCTAGGAGGCGCAAGCCGATGCCCGAATCGGAGGGTGTAGCTGTTGGGGTGGGCGCTTCCAACTGCTCCGTTAGGGGCTGCGTGGTCTGTGGGCTGCGTTTCTGACGCAAGCTGCAAGGAGTTGACGAAAGCATAGATTGTCTGCAGGCGGGGCTCTCCATTTGCTCTCCTCCTTGCAGCTTGACGGCACAACGCGGACGTGCTTACAACCAATCCGCACGAGAGGTGTCCGCCTTTAATTTGCAAAATGCTGTTCATGGTTTGAGTTGCTCTCCCCTTTTGAGTCTAGGCTCTCTAAGAAGTATGTGTGCACGTGTATGTATATGTGTGGTGCTTGCTCTTTGCAACAAACATCTCCTCCCCCCCCCAAAAAAAAAGAAAAGAAAACAAGAAAAAACAAACTATTGTTATTTTTGAGTTTCACGGGTGGATCGTCCACCAAGCCTCGAGCCTCCGCTTCGTGCATGCCACAAATTTGGTCTCTTCTGTAAATTGAAGAGCTTGCTCGATGCACGTGCCGACGCCTGCTGCAGGTTCCAGTGCTGGACACTCGAGAAGCAAATGTTGTAAAGTTTCGTCCACATCACATGCACTGTGCAGCGAGTACGTTACGTTGGAGGAGGAGATCCACCCATTGCTCCCTCCTGTGGCTAAGTTAGGAACTAAACCCACGGGGTCAACAACACCTCCATTTAGTATATGTTTCTATCACTCTGCTGACGTAGCCAAATTTGGTGTCGGTGTTCAGGCTGAGGTTCGTGATTGGCCGCTGAAGCACTGATTGGACACGAGTCCTGGTTGAACACTGATGCAGCAGTCGTGCCTCATCTGCCCTTGTGCCGGGTAAACACCGAGTTCTGTGAAAAACGGGACGGACAAGGGCCTCTTTATTTTGATCTTTTCAATATCTATCCGTCCACCCGTTTTTCCCCCTCCATTTCCCCCCAACGATGAACCGCAGCAGATGCAATACCAGAGCATGTCGGCCATTCTGGCAACTAGAGAGTGTCGCATGACCTTGTGCGTCCCAGCGCTCGGCCAGAGTGTTGTGCGTCTTGCTCTCAGCGCTGGATTGGCTGTGATGGCCTTCTGGCATCCATTCTGGTTCATCCAAGGGCGAAATAGAGTACTATAGGTGGCACCAAAATCGGCAAATGTTACAAGAGCCTTTTTGTGTACTTTGTTCATCCCTAAGCTGCGGTGGAAGCTACATCCAGCCGTATGCCTCTCTTTCACCAAGTCATCAGCCACACCCCTGCGCAGAGAGCCAGGTGAGGTGATAGGTTCAGCGGACACGTAGCTTCCTCTGCAGTGTCAGCTTAGGGTTGAACGGAGTACGGTATCTGCTTGACTGGAACATTCAAGCCAACCAAGCCTTCTGGTTGGTCTGCCATGTTGGTGCTGGAAAAAGCTTCGAACAATGGGTGGATCTTGGCCTGTCTGAAGGTAAGAGGTGTTCTCGATAGGTGCATTGGTTTTACAGCGAAGCTGTTATGCGCTAGGATCTGGGAAAAAATGCTTCCGCGGATGTTGACTGAAAACTCCCCATTGGTCGTGGCAAGTATGAATAAATAAAAATAAAAAGGGGGCAACCAGCATGAGTCAGCCTTCCTTGGCATTATTAGATGGTGAGGTCCTGATCCCTTGTTATCATCTCTAGGCATTGCCCTCGAGGTCGTCCTTGAGGTGATTCTAACGTCGTCCTAGAAGTCATCCTAGACGTTGTCCTCTAGGCGGCGTCTTTGAAGTCGTCCTAGAAGTCATCCCTGAGGTGGTCCTTGAGGTCGTCCTAGACGTCGTCCTTGAGGTCGTCCTCGATGTTGTTCTCTAGGCGTCGTCCTAGAAGTCGTCCTTGAGGTTGTCCTAGAAGTCATCCTTGAGGTCGTCCTAGACGTCGTCCTCAAGGTCGTCCTTGAGGTCATCCTAGACGTTGTCCTCGAGGTCGTCCTAGAAGTCATCTTTGAGGTCGTCCTAGACGTCGTCCTCAAGGTCGTCCTTGAGGTCGTCCTAGACGTCGTCCTCGAGGTCGTCCTAGAAGTCGTCTTTGAGGTCATCCTAGACGTCGTCCTCTAGGCATCGTCCGAGACATCATAAAGATAAGAGCTTCGCTGGTCCTTTATCTTCACGTGAAGTGGAAGGGCTCACAATTTGTTTTTGCTAAGGCTTTATATAAAGTATCCCTTAATCTAATCCGCTTCGCTGGAACAAACGAGCAAACGTCGGCCTGTGTGCCCGTTCGTGGTTTGCTCGGTTCAAACGCTAAGAGCCACCACATTGTAGCAATTTATTTAAGCGAAATGCCGGAGTTTTTTTCTGTAGCATTTTATGTACAATGGCATTTTTATTCTTCTCTTCTACAGTTGCTCTCCAGAGAAAGTCAGGTCAGGAAAGCGAGACTGGAGAGGTTGGAGTGCCTCCAAGGTGTGTGCTTAATTTATTGTTGCATAAAGCAGATCTTCAAAAAGCAAGTCTACAAAAACTACGGATAACCTGGGGCTGAAGAAAGGGAACAGTCGGGGAAATTTCCTGGGGATAATGGTTTGTGAAGCATGCAGAGCTGCCGAAGTCCCTAGAATTCTGCCGTTTCGTGTTTTCTTTGACGGGTTTGTGGAGGGCCCTGTTCCTCAAGTTTGTTAAGCTTTCCATTAGATGTTCCACCAGCGGTGTCGAGCAGGTACGAAAATCAAGGTACTCGTGGCTGCTGCTTTTCACCAACCTAAACACTCGCACCTTTTATCCTTGTTTTATTGTTGTCTGTATCTTACCGTTAGCAACGTCTAAATTTCTGTGCTGTTTGATTGCAAGAAGAGAAAGAAGGGAGGCTCACCTGCTTTCTCTCAGCCTGTCATGGGGGCTTTTCTGGAGAACCAAACGCTTTGAGAACCCATGGATTACAAAACGTTGACTGGAGATCGTGTAACCCCTTCAACCACTCCAGGGGTGGCATCCCTGCACGGCGGACAGCCGCTGCCGTTCACGGACCACGCCCAAGCCTTCCCCATCAAAACGGAGGTCCTGGCGTCCTTTGACGGCTCGTCGGACCCTTTCAGCTTCCTCGTGACGCCCTCCGTGTCTGCAGCGCCAACGGTCTCCTTCACCCAGGCAAGTCCTCGGTGCAGAGCTCGTGGTGACGAACCACAGTGACCTCTCCTAAAGCGATAATTCAGGAACACGAAGTAAGCGTGCAAACGAACTAGCCGTAAATTGAACATAATAGCGAAGAACCCCGAGATGCAGGCAAGAAAAGAACGCCAGAAACACAAAGTCCCAAACGCAGCTAAAATTAGTTGGACAAAAAATTGCATAAAGTTTTCTCAATAAAAAAACAAAAAAGAAAAAACAGTAGAATACAGCTACCCTCTTTCCTTGCATAAGTTTGTTTGTTTGGTTAAGTTGGTGCATCCTTGAGTTACCGTATTTACACGATTGCAAGTCGACCCCCCCCCCCCCCCTCCCACATTGCACGCCATCAAAAAAGAATAGATTTTTAGAGGTGCCTTTTACAGTGAATTTGTGGGAATGGCAGGGTATCTCTTCCGAAAGCCCAGCCTTCAGCACGCGATCGATGCCTTCTGGCATACTTTGGCTGCATATACACGCGCAAGGTGCAGGAGATGCCCAGGCGTTACCGAAACTAGGAAGCTCACGCTGGAGGCGGGACAACTGAAGCAGCTCCATGTCGTTCTCGCTCGGACCGCGACTACAGACTAGGATTCGTCCACACTGGTAATGTCAGTCCCGTCGTCATCTATGCTACGTTCTCAAAGCATGTCGGCCTCGGCGTCCAACAAAATCTCGCACTCCGCAAATGACAGCATCAACCGCATCTTCCGCTCTTGCTTGGAGATTGCGTTGTGCGTGACAGGTAGGGACCGATTGCACACTTTTGCGGCGTACATTGCAAAGCAAGGCACAAAGCAGAAGCACCAAAACACAAACACCAGAACACTCTGGAGCAGAAACAAAAAAGATTGAGGTACACCTAAGCACTTGTAATGAGTTGAGCATGCAAGCCGCTCGTCCGCTCCCTTTGTCGTCTGCTGCATACTTTCTGTCGCTGGTTGGTGCGTGTTCTTCCCTGGTGACCTTGGACGCTCTGCGCTGATGGACACGCAGCGCCATGGGGTGCGCGGTTGAGAAAGGGAGAAAAGCGAAAGTTGTTTTGTGCTATTGAAGGTGGAAACGAGAAGGTAGAAATGCGAAAGGGTTCAAATGAGAACCACCCTGTTGCACGGAACTGCATTCCTGGAATAATGCAGTGTTTCTATGGAACGGCATTACAAGGAACGGCGTTCCTTTTAGGAGGAGCGAAGGAACGCTGCCATTCCATTTTGCATCGGTGGAACTGAAACGGGAACTGGTTACATTTTTACTGGAACGGAGAAAGGAATGGCGTTCCTTTTTTCGTTCAGTGGGGTATTTTTTATTTTATTTCCAAAAGGGAAATTCTAAAAGTATCCAAACAATATCTTTATGAAGAGCAGGATCTCGTTAACTTTTTGGTTACTTATCTTAAGGTTCATTTTTTGTGGTTCTCGCTTAATAACAGTCGGGTTCAGGAGCGCTACTGGACATCGATTGTTTTTTCGGTGCCAGAGATCGCTGCGGTACAGAAAGCAAAACGTTTAGTCGATGGAAAAGACACAGAAAGAGGGACAACTCAAACTCGGCTACTGTCTTTGATTTCACGAATCCTCGTGCACCCTAAAATCCAAGGCCGACTGCAGCCGTCCCTGAACTTCTACAAAGAGACCTACATTTACAACAAAAGAACAGGTTAGCAGACATCGAGCATACCCTTGTATCCCAAACATTGCTCACTCAAAAGATACACAGAAATTAACCTGTATCACTTTTCAACTTGTCCCCTGCCTTCAAACTGAACAACGAATCCAACCTTCACAAAGAAGGACTTGTAGTTTTCAAGACTGACCTTCCAGAAGCCCTATCCTCTTCACTTGCTCGTCTTGTGTACAGAGAGATCGAGAAGCAATGGTTGTCAAGTTCAAACAAGGGAGTTCGTTAGGTTGAAACGTGCGAGGTTGTTGTGAAACGCTCGTGCAATGTGGAGTAACAGTACATTTGGATCGTCTGAATCGCTTACCAGAAACGTGAATATGGTCAAAAGCTGAGATATTTAAAGGTGACTATAACTCCAAGTGAAGCCCTGCTTTCGCTTGTTTTCTTCTCCTGGTGCCCTTCCATCACAGTATTCAAATTCGTGTGTTGCCATTTGATGGGATAGATAAAAAAACAGAAGAAAACTTTGCTCGATCTAACTAAATATGGTAATCAGCAAAATACAAATGTAACGTATATGTAACGATACGTTCCATTTTTTTAACTGTAACGGGAATGAGTTCCTTTTTGGCGTATGGAACTTGTAACGGGAACGCTGTCCAAAAATCGGAAGGAACGAGCTTTTGTTCCTCTTTTTGAGGAACTTGTACAACACTGGTTGTGTTCCAGGCACCCTGGTTAAAACGTAGCTTAAAGGGCAACCCCGGTCCATACTTTCGATTTTGGGATTATGACTGTTTTTAGTGCAGTCAGCGTCCCTGAATTGCAAGCTGTAATTTTTTTCTCGTTATTGTGCGTAGTTTTAAAGATATGACGCCTCAAAGTTTTGTTTGGGGCGCGGCCAACAAAACCGAAACTATCCGCTCGAGGCCCCGGCAACACTGGAAATCAGCCGCAATGTGAACGTGATGTCAGGATCGTTCTCGTTCAACGAGTACGCAGGCCGACCGGTACCTACCTCTGTTGCGCTAGCCGTCTAAAGATAGGAGGTAAGCTTATTTTATATTAATTCTGTATACGTGGTAGTTATCCAGCATATGTAGCAGGAGTTAGTGCGTATACCCAAAAGCTAGCGACTGGAAAACCCGTGAGCTCGTTCGGCGCCGTACTCGGCGGCCGCCACCGTGCATGCGCTATGCCGTAGATAGAGACTGGAAAACGAGTGAACTCGTTCGGTGCCGTACTCGGCGGCTGTCGCCGTGCGTACGGTCTTCCGCGCTCGTCGCTAGGCCTAAATTGTCATCGGGGCTCCGTGGGTGGAGTGGCGTTGCTCTACGCCGCGCTGCCAGTGACGTACAGTTCTGGGGGCCCTCTCGCCTTCGCGCTGTGGGTCAGTCCCAGACACGAAGCTTTGAGGCTGTTCGGCGTGGGCCCGCCTCAAACACGCCAATCACAAGCCGAAGTAGCGGTGGTACCGCCTCAAAGAAGCGCATTCCGCGCAACGCCCGGACCGGAGGAATAAAAGAGAACGATACTGACGTCACGGCCCAATGTTGCTTTAGCGATCGGCAACCCGCTGGCAACCCGCTAAGGAGCGGCGGGTCGCATTTTTATTATCGGCATTAGTTGAGAATGCGGTGTCCCCCGGACGTAATATTTTGGCTGGGGTGGTATTTTGTGTCACTACGGCGATACCAGTAATTTATTTCATATTGAGTTTTGGCCGGAGTTGCCCTTTAATGTTTTTACGTTGAACTGCGAGTTAAAGGGGCGGTGCAATGATTTTAACACTGAACTAATGTGCAGCTTGTATTTTTTATATTGTTTACTTCGGCATAAGTAAGAGAAAAAGTGCCACCATACCCCAAAATACCTCTATTTCGCCGCGTAATCGCAAAATAAAAAACACTTTTTTCCCCAACCTGCGGCCACATGGTGGCCGCAAATGGAACCTGTGGTGTGACGTCATTCGGAGTGGTTTTTGTAAGTGATAGTGTTAGGCAATTGTAAGGTTGATTTAAGGTTAAGTTTAAAAAATCTTGTTGTTCAGGCATGCAGAAAGGCTTCAAAAGCCTAATATTGGCTCTAAAAGATTTGTGGCGCCATCTACCGCAAGTCAACCAAACCTGCCGTCGCCGTCATCCGTCGACGCCCGAGGCGCCTACGGCGGCTACACGAGCAACCCGGACGTTTTGTCTTTTCCTCGCTCGACGGAGTGCGTTAGTCGTGGTCCGTAGTATGGTGGTATCGTTATTATTCCTGGTGTCTCGACCTCGACTTCGACTGCCCGCCGCACAATCCAACCGACTTACTATACGCAAGCATCTTGCGCTCGACGTCGCTCAGGCCGTCCGCCCATGCCGCCATGTTGGCCGGGAATCGACGGGAGAGCGGGAGAGCAGCGAGCCTGGCGAGCCGGCGAGCGCTGGGGAAACGGAAGCCAGAAGAACCCAACCGGAAACCAACGCCACTCCGAATGACGTCACAGGCGAAGCTGGTGCCGCTTCAATGTTGAGGGGTGTCAGAGATACCAATTTCTTTTATTTTTTTGTAATGAAAACTAGGGCAAGCAGGAAAGAATAGTTTTCGGTCCTTCGTTTTATATCTGGCCGGGATCGATTCCCGCAATTAATTAGCCAAAGTCCGCAAAACGTTGCACCGCCCCTTTAACCCTTATTCGGGCAGTCATTCAAAAATGGAACTAAAATTATATCACAATCAGTATTTCCTTAAGGAACCAATTCAAGCACCAAAACATTATTTTTTGTGGCATTTTATTTCACATTTAAGAGATAGGACATGTATCTCCCAGTGCACACTGCCCGTCAGGGGATAACAAAATGTTGAATATTTGAAACAATAATTACTTCTTGTGGTACAACCTGAAGCAGTTTCTTGGGGACTTTCCCGTGACTATGCAAAGCCTAACTTTGCACTTTGCACAGGCAATTGATGTTTGGCCGCTTGGGCAGTACCAGTGATGTGATTGCTGCGCCAATTGCGCCAAACTGCGCCAAGGGGCTAACCCTGCTACATCCTGCTACATTTTGCCAAAATATGGGTAACCTGCGCCAAGCCTGCGCCAAAGGACTAATTTTGGTCGCCTTTGAAAACCGAAACTAAACTGAGTACCGTAATTGAGCACACATGAGCTAGGTGGTGCAAGCGGCCATCCGACGCAAAGTACCCTGCATCAATCGTTCATCCGGTCTTGCATGATTTTTCCCGCCGTCTCTCGTCTCGCGTCTTTAAAAAAAAAAAAAAAAAAATTCAATGATAGACGTGGGCGTGTGCGGACGCTCCGACGCTAGCGTGCTGGGTACCAGCCATGCCGTCATGCGGTGAAACGAAACCATGTTTTTGCGCGGCGGGGGTTACTTTATGGGCTGAAGCACTCGCTCCTGAAAGCAACGGCCGTGGCCAAACTTTATTTGGTCTCTGCCTGCCAGCCACCTTGGTCGCGCGGCGTCGGGTGTTGCCGACCCTACGTCACTGCAATTATGGCACTTTCTAAACTGAAACGTAAGGACTGCCGCATGTTCATCAACAATCCTGTTCTTGTTTAATATACTACTACAAATATCCCTTTAGCTCAAAGACTGCTGTGTCGAAGTATTGATTGCCTAGGTTTCTTTCGGTAGGCTTTCTTTCGAGACGTACCCCGGTACCTGAAAAATCAGCCGCGAAAGATGTTGGTGAAGAAAAGTGAGATAAAGCAAACAAGGCAATGTCCGCATGCTGAACCCGCACAGCGTGCTTGTTTGTCTTGAGTTCAGTCGTTGCAGAAAGCGCTCCAAGAACTTTTTGACCCTGGCTCGCGACGTCTTGCATCGATGCGCTCAGGTTCTTTTTTTTTCTGTGTTTAGCTTGTACCTCGCCTGCCGGCCTGGCAAGCATGTGCCGCTGGACTGTTTTTTTTTTTTTTTTGTCGTATGTCGGACAGTTACCTTTTGCATACAATTTTGGGAATTAGTTGGAGACAGAGCGGAGTGGCATGGTTTCGATCGAACAGCCATCTTCGCTCGCGCGACAATTTCGCATTGCACGGCAGTAGTTAGGTGTTTCATCTGTTGGAGACTGCTTCCATTTATTATATTACTAGTCAACCTAATGATGTGATAATAGAGAGTTTTAGTAGATCGTGTTTTTGGGCCACGCTACTTGTAGCGGGAGCTCGCGCTACCCCTTCGATGCATGCTCCGAAGCGCGAGCCTGTAGCGGTAGCGGTCCTTTGAAAACGATCTACTAAAACTCTCTATTTACTACTAAGCTGGTCATTTTCAAATAGATTTTAATTTGCGCAGTTTGGTCCGATTTATTCGTATCATTTAACTAAAGCATTGCAAAATGTGTTATGTCATTGGCATTTCAGTTAAATGTTGAAAGACTCCCAGGTGGTCTATCTTGACAGTAATTGGTTGATTGCGGCGAGCAATGTGTCCTTCGTTTGTCCACCACTTAAAATTAATCTTTTTTTTTTTCTAAGAATTTTTGCTTTAAAAGCCACTTTCGCTGCTCCGAAACACTGTTTTAGCTGCTCCAAAAGCCAGTTTTGCTGCTCCAAAACTTTGTTTTGGCTGCTCCAGAAGGTGCTCCAAAACGGCTTATGCCAATCACATCACCGCAGTACCTGCAGCGACCTTTGCCTTCCAGTGTTGGTAGGTGACCCACACCGTCGTAGCGGACATCGGTGACAGGTGCTGCCGTGGTCTGCATTCTTGGGCGCTGCGCCGCAGGTTCTTCATCGAGGGTGGAAGAAGGTCTCCCTCTTTTCGGGGGGCTTGCATGCATCAAAGCTTCTGAAACAGCTAGTCGAAATTGTTTCAGTCGCATTGCCTTCACGCCAGTGAGGTTTGACTGTCGTCGGTGTAGTAGCCAAGCGTTGTTCACGGATATATCGAGAAGCTGGCTGAAGATGCCTAAGTACCATCGCTTTGTGCGGAATGGGGTGCGATAAAGCGCTGCGTACATGTCTGCAAGGTCAACACCGCCCATGTGAATGTTGTACTGTTTCACAATTTGTGGGCAAGAAACTGGAATCTTTTGACGCTCCTTCTTGTCAAACCTGTTCGCTGTTTCCACTGGGTCTTGTGAGACACAAGAGCTTGCAACTATTACAGTCTTGTTGCCAGCCCATTTCACGACTGCAAGTCCTGCCACATTGTCCACTTTGTAGTCAAAGCTGCCTCTTCCCTCCTTCAGCAGTGACTTGTCATCCTTTAGGGAGCAGCCTCGAAGCCTGTTGCTTCGAATGGTGCCGAGACTGTGCAAAGAATACCTTTCTTTCAGTCGTGAGATCAGTTCCAGCGAGGTGAAGAAATTATCAAAGTAGACGATGCTCTCATTTGGACGAGAAATGCTCTCGCACAAGTGCAACACAACCTTTGCGCCGAGACCAAGCGCCTCTTCCTCTTCTGCAAGTCTGATACCTTCGAATGTTGTTGCGCCGGTGTACAGAATGAAGTCATGAACCATCCCAGAAACACCCGCACGTACAAACAGTTTGAAGCCCCACTTTTTAGGTTTTTTGGGGAGGTACTGCCTCAGGTTCCCCGCCTTTTTACCCTTGTACGGGATCATCATCTCATCAATGGAGAAGAGATTTTCGCTCTCTGTGGCCTTGCATTTGCTCAGAATGTGCTCAAGCACAGGTTTTATCTTGTAGGCTCAGTCAGTTTCAACTGGCTGGAGGTTATCAATAAAATGGATGAACCTTCGGAGCTTCTTGAACCGTTTTACAGGCATCACATTGGCGATCTTGTCACATCTTGTTTGATTGGCCCAGTAGTCTTCAAACGAAGGCATCCCGACGACGCCCATCATAAGAAGAATTCCGATGAAGGACCTTAACTCTGCAACGTTCGTGTTGATTGAGCATCCGGTCTGTTGAGTGGAATACAGATTTGTCTCGTAAACCACCTTCTCAATGAACTCATCGCCAAAATACATCTGAAAATACTGCAGTGGAGTGAGATCTTCCGGTGCAAGCTCAAACTGCGGTTCTGGAGCTCGGAAGTCGTGGTCGAAACTTGTCTTTCTCCATTTGTACTTGTCACCTTGTTTCGACGAGGCGGCGTTCTTTGGCAATTCGGCTTCGTCTTCCGAGAGGGATTCTTCTACTTCCAAGCTTCTACTCCTTGCCTTGAAGCTGGTGTCATCATTGTCCGTGTCCGTTTCATCATCGCTTGATGAGTCGACGTCGGATATTCCACCTTCAGGAGGGATCACTGTGGCTCTCTTTCTCAATTGTGAGCCATAAAATGTCCTTGCAGTTAGCTCCTGCACAAAACAAAAATAAAAAAAACATTGGAAAAACGTATACAAAACAGTGGAACGAATACCCCAAACGTGCAGTGTATCCTGTGAGATACACACGGATTATCACCCTGCTTTGCATAATTGGATCGGGGTATTCGATTAAAAATACATCACCAAAGTGTTTGCACACTTTTGTTTAAAATCGCAATGTTAGATTTTGATTACCGTTTCAACGTTTAGAGTACAAAGTAGCACTTGCCGTGGACACGTGGACGCCAGCACTGGTCGACGCCATGTTCTGTCACTCACGAAGAAACACTTGCTGTAGGCTCCGGGAGGTGGCGCTAGGTGTCTCGGCCGCCGCGGAGGATGTGTCCCATGAGATACATTGCCCATTTGAGGGAGTATATATTTACAGTGATTTTTATTTGTGCGTTTTAAGTCTGTATCCCCGGAGATACAAACAACGAAAGAGGGTTAAGGAAGTCCTGAAATTAAATCGGGCCTGAAGGCTGCACACTTTACAGGGGCAAACTTTTGAATTTTTTGAGCAAGCCCTTAGTTGTGTACCTTAACTGCGTACAAGACTAGCAATTCCTGGACTAGTTGCCATTTTTAAATTTTTTTCTGTCCCACCTGTGTGTGCCACTGCACCGAAACCACGTGGTACTGGGTCACCGAAATGACAAATCGATTATTCTACTGACGGTCGAAGGTTAGCACAAGTGCAAAACGTGATATTTCGCGCAGGCGACTCGAACGTTGCGATCACGTTTGCATTATTTCTCTTTATGCACCGGGATAGGATCCATTCTTTTTCTGTTTTATGGTGAATTCCACTCGTAGATCTGGAGCGCTTTCCAAAATCCGCGAGGGAGGCAAAATTCCGCTCCGTGGGACCCGCTCCGAATCGACGAGGGGAAGATAAACTTGCATTTTTGGAGCGACCTCCCCCACACCCCTCCCCACCCCTTCTCCCTCCGCCGTACAAAATGGCCGCTGCTCGAACTTGACCAGCCCACCAATGCCTCAGCCGGCTGATCTTTCCGACGACGACCAGTGACGACTGTCACTGCTTAGCTGTAACGCGCGACACAGGCCGGGCGAAATTGTACCACGGCGCCCATGTCACAAATAACGAGAAAGACGTCCGCGGTCGGCAACCTCACATACCTTTCGGCCGCCTCAAAGCGGCGGGGCACGGACAGCGATTGCCAGCGGTGGAGTTCAGATTTCTAGTACGACTTTGATAAACACGAAGGTAACAAACCATCACTTGCGCGGTCGTTGCCTAACCACTTCTTGCTTTATTTCACGGGAAAACGCCGACGGAATGCAGTGTAAAAAGGTAAACAATCACTGGCTGCAGAATGAATGGGCCTAACCTTGCGTCTGCCTCCGGCTTTTCTGTCGTTCTTTTTCTCGTTCTTCCTCTCACGATCACAGATGTCAGCGCTTACGATTTTCCACGCTCCACATTCCCGGCTTTTTATCCCTGATCTACGCGAGGTAGAAGCGTTCGAGCCGTCACTATCCAGAGTGAACAACCGACGCACCCGAACAGATCCAACTCCACGACCGTGGCCCGACCTGCCCTACCGGCCCGCCGATCTCTCCAACCTCGCCGCGCATGCGCTCCGCCGATTTAGACGGAAATCACGCGGGCCGCTCTGTCAACTTCCGGAGAGATCTGTGAAATCCCGCAGAGCAAGTTCGACGGAGTTTGGGGCGCTCCGTGGAGCGGGCGCTGCCAGAGATCTACGAGCGGAAGATGACCAACTTGAGCCAGATCTGCGAGCGGAATATGGAGCGCTTTTGGAGCGCTCGAGATCTGCGAGCGGAATTCACCATTAGTCAACTTCTAGAGCAAGGTAGCCTTTGTTCGGATTGAGAATGTGGTCCGTATTGTCCGAGATAGTGCCGAGTTTGCAGTTCCCCATGCGCGCAGTCTTTCTTTGGAACGGAACCTTTGCCTTTAGGAGCCACGCCATAAACGTGCGGCATATCGTACATCCGTCGGGTCTTTTCCCCGAGGATATGGGGGAAAATTTCAGATTTTTTTCATCATGCAAATCTCGTCTTCATTTCGTTACAGGATTTCGAAAAACACCTCATGGACCACGCCTACACGTGACGAGACCAGTCACGATGTGCGCAGCTCAAAGGGGCTACGTCCATTCAGACACGCTCGTATCATCTAATGAGTCGGTGTCGGTCGGTTTAGCCGTGCTCAGTATCATCTAACGAGTCGGTGTCGGTCGGTTTAGCCATGCTCAGAACATTGAAAGAGTCAACAAAGCTTTGGGACTTTGCAGTGCTGCGGGAGCCCATTGTCGCTCAATTTTGACGCGCAAAGCTTTAGTCATTGTTCAGACCTTTTGCGTGGCGTTTCATTTCTTTTTCCGCCGTCTAGGACAACACATTTTCTTCTTCATGTTTACTATGAATTTGTATAAAAATAGCTTTTGTAAGGTTGCAAGAAACTGTACATAGTCAAGATGCAGCATGCGCGTGTGTAAATAGGAAGCCATTGTCAAATATGAGCGAGAGTCTAGTTTTTTCAAGTGCTTCGAATGGTGAAATTTTGTACCGTAATGCGGAATAGGTGTCTGTTGAGACGTCACTACCCGTTTGTATCATAAAAGAGTGTGGGCATTGAAACCTGTGTCTTTGTTGGTTGTCTTACGGGCCACATGTTGTTTCTGTTTGTTTATTCTTTTTTTTTTCCTGAGACTCTTAAGTTTGGGTTGCTGGCGGAAGATGCCCCATGCCCGAATTCTTGCTTTTGTGCATGCACAGTTTGTTTTGAAACTAAAAATCAATGCCGAGAGAGAGAGAGAGAGCATTATCTTGCGGATTTCAGTGCAATGTGAAACTGGGCTGCAAACGTCTTTTCTCCTCTGCTAAAATAACTTATTGTCATCAAACTGTGAAACATTTGAGTTGGTTCATTGTTGTTTTTCACCCCCGAGTTGTTTTTAAGCGTAAATTGTTTGCAGAAAAGCTGTTAAGTTCTAAGCCCCGATTTTGTCTTGTGTATGCGCGTTTTTGTTATAAAAATAAAAATAGGTGTTTGGGGAGAAAAAAGAAAGCACCTAGTAGATTTCAGCAAGACAGGAAAATGAGCTGCAAACACCTTCCCACTTCCTAAAAAAAAAAAAAAAAATTACCTTTTTCTTTTTTTAATTGCCAGTTAGATGTATCCAAGGAGGTTAGAAGTACTAGGAGGGGGCACGTTGCAATATTGGTGAAGCCTAGTCATAAAAAGTTTAAACGATTTTGTGCCCAGCGTGACCGCAGATCTCTCTGGCGATTGGTGCGCGTGACATGTCACGTGTGAGATGGATGGTTGATTGTAGAAGGACTCCTTGCAGACTTGCGCGCGCTCCGTCCGGTAGGTTTTATCAGATCGAAGGCTGGACTGTGGTGTATTCTAGTACCCCATAGGAAGACGAAGTCTAGCTACGGTCACGTGATGTGGTCACGTTGGCATGGTAAGTGAGGAGAGTGAGGAGGAAAATGAGAAAGAGGCGAGGCGTCAAGGGAGCATGGCTTGTGGAGGCTACGCGGCCGACGTCATGCCCTCTCCTACCCTTCTATCCTTGGATGTGACAGTGAAGAGTAGCCTGGTGCATGCTTTTGCTGTCGGATAAGTTCTGCCAATAAAAATGTGTTTGGAGAAACTGCGTTTTCAATGAATAGACCATACTGCAGTTTGTCCTCCCTTCGACTGGATGAAAAGATCTAAGCATTATCCGATCGCTTTGGAAAGAGGACCTCAGGAAGCTCTGGGTTGGTGCTCATAGCTTTTGCTGCAGTTGGGCAAAGGGCCGAACAATGTCGCCTTTTGGCTTTCCTTGATGTGCCGAAAAATGGAAAACGAGGCAAGGCAGCAGAGTCTCCCTTTCTATGCCTACTTTAATCTGCGGAGCATTCCTTACAAACAAATTTGGGTCACCTTTGCACAAAGTAGCGGTTTTGCAGTTTTGCAGCGGTTGCATTGAAACCGTTGCTATCTTCTCACCTGAGTCACTACGGGCATACTTTGCGACTGTAGACTGAATTTGACATCTAACTTAGGGTCTAGTTCAGGGGTGGCCAAGCTGCGGCTCTTCGCGTATTAAAGTGCGGCTAGCGGCTCCCGCCCCTACTACCCCCCCCCCCCCCCCCCCCCCCCGCACACACACACTCCCCTGCCTCCCTCCCGGTCACACGAGCACTTCCCCAAAAAGAGAAATGGAACGCGTTCGAAATCACCAGGCAGGTTGCGGTTTGGTTGTCTTGTGCTACCTTACGTACAGTTGGACTGCCTTTGACTCGGATAGATTGAAAGTAGTCCGAGCTCTGTTTACTGCTCTGGACCAAAGTTTACCCCGCCTCCCACCCGCCGACCTCGTCGCATCAGTGGAAAGGTCAATTATGAAAATGACTTTATCCGGAATGCACAGCATCATTTGTCACTTGCGCAGTGGACTGCGTAAATTACTGATTGATCTTTTGTTCTTGAGGCAAAAAATATTGAAGAGAACCACACTCGGCAAAAGCTCCCAAACGCACAGTTACCGTATCGCCTATTCCCTCGCCGTAACCGCTGGTTGTACTAAACTGTGCGATGGTAACCGCGCGACTGCGCGGCGTTCATTTGCGATCCATGGCCCCGTCGCGTTCGTGCGCGTGCGCAGACATTTGCAAAATTTCTGACGAATTTTTGCCCAACTTTCCTTCAAAAGTTTTGGCATGTGCAGAACTTTTCCGAATCTGAAGTTCGGCAGATTCGGTTCATCACTAACTTTTGCGGTGTGTGTGTGTGTGTGTAGGCGTTGTAAAAGAGGGGGGAGGGGGGGGGAGTGAGGGGCCAATTGTGTATGCGCACCGGGCACTTTGGTCACTGGCTCCCTTTACGGCGCAGGCGATAGACCCCCTAGCAACGACAGTCACGCCGGGTTGGCTGCTCGGCAACGCGCGGGATCTTAAATTTCGGATTCGGACGGGGCGTGTATCGCTCGAGAGTCGAAACGCGTTAACCCACCCCCGCGCCTGCGTTCACGCCGCTTCGCGGCGACAGTGTGCGACTGCTAATTACAAAAAAATATTAAACCACTTAGCCCCCCCCCCCCCCCCCCCCCCCGTACACGCCGCTTTGCGGCGTCCAGCCGGCAACCCAAGCCCCCCTGTCCCCCATGCACCTCCGCCGTAAATAGAGTCCCGTACAACTTAGTTCAGCGACTTTTCGTCAACAACATTCGTGTTTTAGAGCGCAGCTCTTAGGGGCCCGTTTCCGGCTTGAGCGGCGTCGGCGTAACCGCGAGGTCACGTGACCCCCCCCCCCCCCCCCGAGGTCACGTGGCCCACCCAGGTCACGTGACACCCCTAGGTCACGTGACACCCCTAGGTCACGTGACAACTAGGGCACGTGACCCCCTGAGGTCACGTGACCCCTGAAGTCACGTGACTTCTGGGGGTCACGTGACCCCCCTAAGGTCATGTGACCCCTTCAGGTCACGTGACCTCAAGGAGTCACCTATCCCGCAGTACGCTTCCATCTTCCTCCTCAAGAGCTGCGCTCTAACCGGCGTTACAGGGAATTGTAAACGGCTTTCATTTTTTTTTTTTTTTTAGAGTTAATTGTAAAAACGAAATGTCGTAAATATCCCCAAATGCCTCGACAAAAAAAAAAAGTGTTCGAGGAAAAACCATAAAAGCAGTAAGCCCCCACCATGAATAGAATCCGGGTCTGATCCGCATGAGGCAGACATCTTACCGCTAAGTTACGCTACCGCTTCGGAAACTCGCATTGTAACCGCTGCCTATGTTGACGGTGGCAACGCCTATCTCCACGAACCAGCCAATCCGGCGTGAGCGCCGTTGCTAGGGTTTGTATTTGTATCGCCTGCGCGTTACAAATATGCCCCCGCGGGTCGGGGGGCAGTGCATGCCCTTGGTATACCTTGGGCGCCGCAGGCCAGTGTTTGCCCTGCCTTGTGGCGGCTGTTTCAGGGGGGGGGGGGGGGGGGGGGGGGCAAAACACAGGCCTTGCCCCCCCCCCCCCACTCTGAAAACTGGGGGGGCAAGCGCACCCCTTGCCCCCCCCCCCCCCCCCCCCCCCCCCCGGTTGGTACGCCCATGGCTACCATATCGCTTCCAGTGTCAGATCCAGTTTACGGGATTTTGAGTTTTAAGTATAAAGAGTGCCGCCTGCGATGATTTCAAAGAAATATCTCTTGAATTGACAGATTTCACCAATCGTTGGACGCATGCTTGACGCCGCCCTAACCAGGTGCGGATTCAGAGGGGGAGGGGGGGGGGGGGGGGGTCCGGATGTCCTGACTCCCCTCTTGAATTTTGAATTGAAATATTTAGGGCTTGGAAACGGGATGAGGGAGGGGTAGGGTCTTAAACATATATGATACGCTGACCAACACCTAACCTGACCCCCCACCCCTCTCTAGAGATACCTGCGTCCGCCCCTGGCCATAATTTTAGTTCACAGGAGGCAGACGGCCGTGCACGCGAGGGCTCGTGCCTTCTCATGCTTTACTCGCGCAGAGCTTCAGAAAGGTTGTCGCTCGTGCAAAACGACTAAAGTTCCCTCGATGCATTGCGGCAGTGGTGGCGTAGTCAAACTGGCTGGTGAGATCGGTCCAAGCCGTGTCATGTGAAGGGTGCTATTGGAACACCCTTGGCATTGATTGGCCCTGGGACATGCTGAAAAGCACCCCTGAGGGTGTAAACTATTTTATTAAGCTGGGTCGCTCCCCCGCCAGTGCCGTGTTGGCGACACGAGAAAAAACTGCCACGCTATTCTGCCCATAAGCAGACCAAACAGAAGTGGCATTATTTGAAATCGCACAGGTTAGCTTTGTTGCATGGCAATTTACCCTGTATGAAAGAAAGAGGCGCTTGGATAGCTTGGAAACATGCTCTTTCCATTCTCTGACTCATAATATTCCTTTTCTGCCTCGATGTTCAAATTTATCGCAGTTGCAAGCACACTAACACTTCCTGCAAGCTTTCTTGGAGCTTGCGCCATGTTCAACCGCCTTTTCGCGGCGTTTTCTTGTCACGCAATAGAACCCAGGACCACAACCCCCAACACTTCCCGGTCCTCGTTCCTGGTTCCGCGGTTCCACCGCCGAGATGGCCGAGATACAAGCGCCGTGACGTCTCCTCCATCTTCCAGCAGAGCGCGCCACCGTGCCCGCTCGTCCTCATCGATTTTTACTCGCCCGCACTTTTCCGCTCGCTCCGCATCCCCATCCTCCGTAATGCCGGCGTTGCAGCATCCTTGCGGCATCGATTGACCGCGTTGCGCTCTCGCACCCGTCAATCCAAAAGCAGCCAAGAAAAACTTCCGCCACCCGTCGACGACGCTAAGCCTAACCGCGCAGGCGGCGGGACGCCTTTTCACCCAACGTCATGCGGCCAGCCAGCGAATGCGTTCCGCCCGCCGACCCGACCGCCACGACGGTCGTTCGCGCTGCAGTTCCGACGGTGGGAAATGGAGACGGCATCGGCACCGGCCTGCCGTTCGACAGCACCAAGTCCAAGATCTACGAGACCAAGCGACACAAGAAGATTGTGCGACTGATGACGGTCATGGCGTACGTTCTGTCCGTCTCGCTAGCGGCCATGGTGCTCTCCCTCTACTACCTGTTCCTCTGGAAGCACGACATGCAGTCGGAGCCGCTGCCGACGTCTACGGTCAAGGGCGTGGAAAGATCCAAGTCTCACACGCTGGGGCCCGGCAACGAATCTTGTCCCGATCTCGGTGCAATGCGGATGAGCGAGAAGGTTGACGTGCCGTCGACCAAGGTGGTTCTGGCAAGGACTACTACGGCTGATCCGCCGGTGGTTGTGACTGAGGTCAGAAGTACGGTCAGCCCTACTGCTGCTGCTACCGAAGGTTCGAGTACAACTGTTGAGGCTACGTCGACGGAGCCGCAGACGTCGGTGGTCTCAGTGTCGGTGATGGAGAATGTCACCCAGTCTTCCAGCGCTGTCGGACAGGTGACGGAGGCGGAAGAGACGCTAGAAGTCAAAGGACCCGCTACGGTGGTGGATAGATGAGGTTAAGTCAGGTGAGTAGACGGGCCTTTTTCCCATCGAGACTCTGAGCGAGAGGGGCATATGCGTTCTATACTGAACTCACAAATATGCTTCCACGTATCAAACTTGATGTAACTCTCCGAACAGTAAAATCAAAGACGATATAGTCACTGACGGAGTGAGAACGGCAAGGCGTATCTTTCGAACGTTCGGCATCTAGCGCGCGCTCCATGCCTTCCGCCGTGCTTTGGCTGCACGCTCGTGCACGCGCGTGCATAACACGCCGAAGCGTTGTCGAAGGTAGGAAGCTCGCGCTGGAGGCGGGGCAACCGAAACTCATCGCTGCAGTTCTCACCTTGTCAGTGACTAGTACTTTGGCCGTTTGGCTGCCTGTACATCGTGCTGGTGTTAACTCGAGGAGGCAGTGACAACCTGGGGCCTTAGATCGTGCCCCAGATTTGATGGACAAAGCCGGACGGATTCAGCATGAAGAATTCATCGTCCGGTTAATTTGTTTTAGAGCGCAGCTCTTAAGGGCTGTTTATACTCCGACGTTGAGCGCAGTGAACGCAGCGTAGCGCAGAACGCGCGCCCTTCATTGGCCGGTGGCCAGGAACTCGATTTCTGCGACCAATCAGTATCTGTGTGCGCTGCGCTACGCCGCGCCAGTCAATGTTATGTTGGAGTAGAAACAAACCTTTAGGCCCCCGCTTCCGGGTTGAGCGGCGTCGCCGTCAGTTTAAACGCGCGCGTTGCATTAGGGGAATAATGCAACCGGGCGTAACCGCGCGTTGCATTATGGGAAAATTTCCCCGCTAAATTTAGCGGGGGATCGACGTCACGTGACCTCCACGCCTATTCAATTTCCCCGCTAAATTTATCGGCGTCACGAATTCGTGACGCCGAAAATGGCGTCACGAATTCGTGTCACGTCACCCATGAACAAATTTATCAGTGGCAGGAAGAGAGGAGCAGGAAAGGAGGAAGGACGAGGGGAGAGTACGGAGGAAGAGGAGGGCATACCTTCCCCTCCGTACCCTCCCCGCCTCCTCCTCAAAAGCTGCGCTCTAATTCGGCATTACAGAAAATTGTAAACGTCTTTCATTTTTGTTTTGTTTTTCTTCTGGTGGACTGTAACGGTCTCTTCGAAGCTATATGTGGTGGAATTCCTTAAAATATGCTGGTCGTAAGCACCTTCTTTAAAAGCGTCCCTTCTGGGTAACATAAAAATAAAGCGCAGATTTAGTTTTAGCGTTTAGCTGACCCCCCCAAATTAATATGGGTGGTTTCATTTGAAATCGAACACGCTTGTCGGGCTGGGTCTTTCAATTTTTTTTAATATATGTAATTGTCCCATTTCTGTAAAAAAACAAAACCGCTTTTCAAAGTAAAAAACAAAAAAATTGCTTCGCAAAAAGATATTAAGTGGAGCAGGGTGAAAATCTGTTTTTTACTCCGCAGTTCTGTCGGCTGGTATGAATACAAAAAGCATACAATACTCGCCATAATTGTTTGTGTGCTTGTATGTCATGCCGACTATTTTTAAGTTCAAAGAAAAATACTTTTGTGTTTTCTTTTACTGAGGTAAGTAAAATATTAACCATTGTCTCTTTGACAATCCGGTGGCATAATCAGAGTCTTGTAACTCATGAGGTGTTATATTTGTCGCTTACCAAATACTATGCGGGTGCAGTACTGTACACGGGCTATCGACGGGCATAAGTTTAGTTTATTTTATTCTCACGGAATACTTTATATACAATCTGAAATATCGTAAAAAATGAGCTTCACCGATATTTTGAACCCACTTTATCGAAAAACTCCATTTCTTATTTCGTTCAATATTTTTTTTATTGTTGCTGCCTATCATATCAACTTTCAACTGACTTGATGCGATTTCCCCCTTTCTTGTTGTATCTTCTCTCGAACTGGTCGAAATCGCACCCACGTTCTCGGAACTGCTAAACGCAGTTTCTGCAGGTCGGCTTCGCTGCAAAGACTATATTGTTGATTTTTGTGTTAAAATGCAGCGGGTAAATTTATTTTCATTGAGAACACTCGTGCCTGCCTACATATTGTATTTTCTTAATTTTATAATGATGGCAACTGATACTCCTTGCTCCGATCGTTAGCGGTGCAGCGGGTGTTCTATTATCCGGCGTGTCAAGCCAGGGCACAAAAGGCGGAGAAAACGGAACGAGCTCTTTATGCAGCCAGACCGGGTTCGTGTATCTGTTTGTGCTATACACAGTCATGATGGGCATCCCAGCCACCTCAGCAAACTACGGAAAGAATTCCTGGCTACGCCATTGGTCCTAGTTTATGACGCTCACGCCTCTTGCTTCATTCATCCGTCTTCTAATCGGTTGATCTCACCGGCTACGAAGTGATAAGATTGGCAGCGACCTTTTTCTTCAAAGTCCTATAGACCAACTCAACTCACTGACGTCACGCGACTGCGGTGGCGCTGCTGTCGGTACTGCGCTTGCGCAGACGCTTCACTCCTCCCGATTTCGGTTTGGGCAAAGCGGGCTTGTTTCTAAACACTGTGTTGGTGCCAGACTTGTGCCCAGGTATCTTAAATACTCTACTTAAGATACTGTATTTCAAACTCTTTTTGAAATATCTTGGTATCTTCCAAATGCTTTTGATCGAGAGTGTTTGGTACCGTATTTTCATTACATTTCTAAGTATCTTGTACTCATGATCTCAAATACATTTTTGACATTCCGCCATTGTCCAAGTTTTTCGGTATGAAGTGGCGTGGGTGTGGCACGAGCGAACGTGAACATTGTTTCGAGCAACCAAATCCTGTTGCTAGCTCTGATAAGCTACGGTGACTCAGATTGAGCTCGTGAAGAAATCGCTTTTGTGCCGATTGTGACTCATATTTCACCCCAAAGTTCGTACAATGAAGGTTTTCCCCTCGCCTTTCCAAAGGCGTGTTTTGTTTCCCAGAGTTTCCCCCCAAAAAAATCCTCAAACAAAAGAGGTGGTTTTACGGAAAGATTGCCACACTGAGGCGCAACACAGAATGGGAAACGACCCACGACAGCAATGCAGACTTCAGTGTCAAGATAATAACAAACAGAAGAAAATGAAAAGCAAACTCCAAGAGACGACACTTTTTTTGCATGTATATTTGACAACGTTAGGGCAAAACGTCGAGGTTTCTTTTTGTTTCTTTTCTTTTTGTCGTCAGTCCGGCACTTATTGCTCCCGCGAGCACTGTATGGGAGTGAACATTGATAAGCAGAAAACAGGACAGGAAACGGACTACGAGCACGATGACCTCTCAAAGTGCCAACAAAGCGTCCCCCAAAATTGACTGCCTTTCTGAACGCAGCCTACTTAAAGAAGGTGCGACCAGTGCCGTGGCTGTTATGTGGGCTCTCTTTGTTATCCATTCACTCATTTCCGTATCCCAAGTTTGTTCATAGTGAATTCCCCATATAGTTAATATGGATTGTAGTTAAACGATGCGTCTAAGGTGTCAGCGATATCACTATTGCTAAAACAACCCCTTTTTGTATAAGAAATGTTTTGTAACATGTATCAGCGATAACCGGGTCCCTATAGTTGGACTGCATAGAATAGCCCTACGGTGTTTTTTTTTTTGTTTTTTTGTTTGTCGTCTTGTGCTGCTGCGTGCTAATAAACCATTCTGGTAAACCAGATTTGCGCAACTGTACGATTCTGTTCGTCACTGACGTCGATACAAATTACGCAGTGCGGAAGTGTCTTCAAAAGTAATTGAATTACATTTCTAAGTATTTGTACTCTATTCAACATACTTTACAGTGAAAATAACTTGAGTAGTATGTATTTGAAATACTTTATGAAGCAGGTATTTAGTAACTTAAAATACTTTTATCGAGTATTTTGTCCGTGCATGCGGCCAGCAATATAGGTCAAAAATGCGTCTCTGGCGCATCAGAACGCAAGGGCACCCCAGTTAAAGGACAACATAGACAATGCGTATACATGGCTTTCACGTGACGTCATTCAAAGAGCGCTCCGATAACCACCAGAGAAGAGGGGAAAAGGGAGCTCCCCTCTTACCAGGATCGATCCTCTTTTGTACCTCCCAGATTTGCACAGGCGTCGCTATTCTCCTCCCAGAAGCTTAGAGAAGATTAACCTGTCACTCAAAATTCTTACAAAAGCAGCTCCACTCTCCTCCCTTACATGCTGGTCCAAAGGAATGAGATGTAACGTCAGTGCAACTCCATGTATTGGGGAGGAGGACAGACCGTTACGCCCCAAGCAGTTAACTTTGGAACTACACGGTTGGGGACAACAAATACAATGACTCAGCGCTCGGCCGACATAACCGAACGCGGCGTCAGTGTTCGGCTGGAGTTTGTGTTGTTCGGTGAGGGGGAGGAGGGGCTCTTTTGTTACCACTCCAGCCTGCATGAGCAATGCAGCATGCACCCTGCCCAGCTCAGCACAAAAGCCCAAGTGGGTCGAGCTCGCATTTTTCGATGACTGCTTTTGGTATAGATCCGGCACTTAACGTTACTTCGTCGATTGTTAGTATTTTTTACATTACACTGTGCCCCGCACTCTATTGTAGAAGATGACATGGACATGCCCATAAGGCCTGTCGGCATGTGCACAGGCCTCGTGTTGAGTAAACACCGAGGTGTGGGGACAACAGACGGGTCAGAGCGCCCCCTATAGTTCGATCTCCTGCCCAATAGGGAACGCACGAGGCAACCAAGCGCCCGCCCTCATTGGTTGAGCTCGGAAAAGGGGGGGGGGGGGGAAGGAAACAAAGGAACTTGGACGGATTCGGGGGTAAACAAAAGTGCGAGGTGCGTGAAGAGCAGACGAAATTGCACGCCGTATAATGCACGAAATGCAGTAGTTAAGGCGCGATCGTTTAACATTATCTAGAAGGCATTAAACGGTTGTTTCGGGACGTGGAGGAAAACCTTTATATTTATTATCAATTTCCGCGATACATTATTGAACGGGGAAATGCACCGGTGTATACACGCTTTTGCAGCGTCAATACGAATGTCGCCATAACCGACCTCCAATTTTTGTTTCCTCTTATCACATTTACTTCACTTCATCTTAACTGCAGCGGGGCAGGCTATTGACATTTTAGACTGTACTGTGTCCTTCTCCCCAGCGTTGGCCGTTGTGGGAGTTCGTCAACGCTCGCTTCACTGGTTTGGCATCTGGGTAAGACAAGAGAAGGTCAGCAATGGCGGCTGTAATCTGGTGCTTGTGCGAAGCATCTTTAGGTCACGCTAAATTTCCGCTAAATTTAGCGGGGAACCTGAATTGGTGTATAGGTCACCCGACGTCAGGTCACGTTTCGCCAATTTTCCCGCTAAATTCAGCGGGAAAACTGAAGTGGTGCACGGGTTTCGTGGCATTAGGTCACGTGACGTCAAATTTGCCGCTAAATTTAGCGGAGAAACTGAATCGGTGTTTAGGTCCCGTAACGTCAGGTCAAAGTGACGTGACGCGACCGAAGCACCAATTCAGTTTTCTCGCTAAATTTAGCGAGAAATGCACGGACGGTTGGACAGCAATTTGGAATCGGGGTTTTCGCCAAACAGCATTTCATCCCGTGTTAAGATTTTTTTTGTTTACTTTGATTTGAGGAATTGCTGCAAAACACAGCGGGTTAACCCTGCTTTCCCTTTCCATTCTCCTGTACCTATTTCTCTTTAATTGTCCTTTCTTATTTCTCCACAGTTCGTACGCCACGCTGAAGACGTCCTGGGCAAGCCGGCGCGCCAGACGGAACCCGTCAAGACGGAGTACACAGCCGCGAGCGTTGCCATAATATACGCACCATGCTGTGGATAGCGAGGGTTCCGTGGGACCCGCAGCATATTTATAGCTCCCAGGCGGAAACGCTCTCTTTGGACTCGGAATTTGCTCGGTGCGGGAGAAATCGCGTGAGGGGGGCCTGTGTGTACCATATAATCCCTGTAAGCGTGGCCATTTCTGATGATCGTATTAATCGTTTGTTTTCTAGCGCTTCGTTGACACGATGGTTATTTCAATGACCACCGTAGTGGCGACACTTCAAATCTTGGGAGGAGCTTTTATTTTCCCCGCTCATATGGATGTTTCCACGTTCATTCGGTAAGCATGGGCGTCTATTTGCCTCGGATGAAAAAATTCAGGAACTTGGGCGCAAGCATTCGTTTATTGCCTAATTTCCGCGGGCCATAAAAATATCCGCTTGTGCTTGCACCGAGCGCGCTCTCGTGGCTCCGGGAGCTGTTCCCAATGCACGAAGTAGCGTATACGCGTTTAGCACCGCGTGCATTTTTGATTTCACGCCCGTGAGTTTCCGAATAGCTCCAGGGTGGCGAGCTGAGTTGAGACGGAGTCTTCACTCAAGGTTTGCTGAGCACTGTACGAGGCATGGACGTGGCTTCCGAAAGGGCTGACCGTGCACGAGCTAGGTCAGGTCGCTCGAACATACATTTCAGTTCAGTTTACTCATCCTCAAAGGCATTTCGATCAAGTGCGTTACATCTAGGGAGACTATAGTATAACACATTAAAGGTTACCCGAATAACAGATCGGTTAATTATGAACATCGGGGTATACGCGTTCGCGCCTGTCGGTTTCTTGACGTTGCGCAGTGCGTATAGACCTTTTCCGTCTACTCTCGTCCTCAGCCACCTAATAGGCGTATCCGGTATGGGCGACGAAAAATTATTAAAAGTTTTCAACCTGTAAATAGTAAAAAAATAGAGGAGAGGAAAAATGAGAATGTGGGACGGTTATGCTTTTACGCTAAATGCCTTCTACTGGCGTGGCGACGGCAAAACAATGTTTTCGCCCAAATTGGAAGTGACGACAATTCAAGATGGCCGCGCCCTTGCGAAAAAGGTCTAGACAACCTGTGAGATGGATGCGCCGCGCCGTGAAGCATGATCCCGAATTCTACACCAGAGTAAAGATCTCGCGTCCAACGTTGCTTTGTCTGGAACGCGACTCTGACCGGTGTGTTCACCGCCCTATGTACACCACCTTCGCCGCTGTGCCACCGCCGGCATCGCGGCCGGCAACCTGATGAGTCTTTGTGACGTTGTCAGGCGGAGACCGGGGGACCCCATGTGGGTACGCGGAAAACACACCAGCCGGAGACTCGTTCCGGGCACCATACTTGGGCTGTAACGTGGTGTAAACACGATGGGAGGAAATATGGGTGTATCGTGATTGCCCCCTGCCTCTCCCTCAGCAACGAAAAAAAAAAAACACTAAAGAGGCAAGGTTTTGGAACCGAGCCGTGATGCCGCCCTCAACCAAAAACAAACAGTACCTGCTTTTGTTTCATAGACAAGAAAAAAAAAAAAAACAGAAATCGAGCGGAGGATGTTTGTTTGTTTGGGCGACTGTTGCAAGTTCATTGCTAAACTCGTCTGTCCGCTCGTCTTGTTGCAAAACCAAACAAGCGTCATGCATTGAAGTTCACTGTATACATATATTCCAATGACGTAAGGCGTGCACTCCCCCGTGGCGACGCTTTTTATGGCATTGCACGCGCAAGTTTTTGGAGATCAGCACGGGCGTTCCCCCCTTTGTCGTTAGGCGCGTGCGCAGTGCCAAAAGTGATCACGTGACCGCACTGCTTTTTTCGGCGTGAGCACGTGACTCGGAAGGGGGTATTCCCCTGAGCAGTCGCTCAGGGCCAAGGAAATCACGGAAGCGATCAGCCGTCTGCTGAGCCCACCCGCGCCCGCGTCTTTGATGCTTTCATAGCTTCAAATTTGTTCGCCAGGTTCTGTTACATTTGTTTTTCCTGTCGTCACAGCTAAACGCCTTCGTCTATCCGCTCTGTATACTTTTGTCAATTCTGACGTCACAGCTCCGTGCCAAATCCTCAAGATATTTCGGCCGCCTGCAGCTAGCGGCAAACTTCTGAGAGAAGTTTCGACTGAGCCGCCAATGGATCGTGATTGTTCTTTTTAGTCTTTTGATAACTGTCATAGACATGTTGCAAGGTAAAGGCCGAACTTGTAAGGGACTTGGTTTCTCCTTAACGCCAGACACATCCGACGCTACGAGCTAATGGATCCAATTAAACGGCGTCAAAAGCTCAAATCACTGGGCCTTTTCTGTTTATGTTTATATCTGATCAGTCCCACCAGCTCGTAGCGTTGACTGCGTCTGGATTTAAGGTAAAACAATGTCACACCCCCCCGTAAAGGAAAAAAAAAGACGACTATAAGCATACATTTTGTAGAAGTCTGCGGGGTACTCGGCTCTGATTGAAGGTTCCAAATTAGTGATCTTAATTATCAGCTGCACAGAGAGCAATTCATTGAGTTGGCACGAGTCATGCTGAAGGGTTTACTTGGCTAGGCTGGTAGTTTCCAGAATTTACGTCAAGACAGTGTGAAATTTATAGTGACGCTATAGTCAGTGACTATAGTGTTTGTGCTGCAGATAGGCTGCCTGATTAATGTATAGTACGGCGGCTAATTTGAAATCTTTTGCGTGCGGCAGGCTGTAGCCAGGCGGTCGCACGCCGGTCGTGTTTCATCGTTATATTCGTGAAGTCATTTGTACCTGTCCTCGCGGTGTCTGTGTATATTTTTACGAGGTGAATTAGGTATACATAGAACGAGACTCATCGTGCTAATCATTGACTGCTTTACACCACGGTTTTGATATGTGGTTAAGAGGTTATTGCGTATTTTGTGCACGCAGTTGGTGTTTCGTCTAACCACGGTTACTGGCTGATCGCCTGTCGTGTCTAGTTTTCTACTTCTCTAGTTTATCCAGCAAGCATAGCGCTGCTGTTAGCTTTGGGAGTGTTTTAGGGTGGAGTTGGCACAGTTGGATCTGAATTGTGAACCTAACCGCTGATGTTGATGTAAGGTTTGTGTATGTTTTTAGGAAGTACTATTTTGCAATCCTGTAAGAAGATTCAATAAATTGCCTTTCTTGTTTGTGTGATACTAGCCCAAAGACAAAATGTATGTTTCGAGTAAGGAGATTTTTATTCTTTCGAAGTAATACTAAAGGACAGCTTGCTGCTTTTTGTGATTCCGTAGATATGTTTAAATGTGTGCATATTTCGTTTCATCAGATGCGAGGAATGTATCACACCATTCAAGTCAACGTCAACTCTCACAAAATACCTCGATTACTTTCATATCCAACATTTTGAGCTAATTGTAGTTAACAAAGCGTTGAGGGTGCGGGAAAGGCCGACTCACATAAACCCTGGACGAGGAGCGCACAAACACAAAACAGAAAAACAAGGAAATACTTTTTTGTTTTGGTTTTCATCAGGATCATTGTTTCGTCAAAACTAATTTCCGCAGCGCCTTTTTTGGGTTTTGTTTTGACAGAAATAATGAATGTCAATGGGAAAACGGAGATTTTTATATGAACTCTACGTAATCGTGCTTACGAAATTTTTTTTCTTTTTTCAACCTATATGTTTTGTGGCATTGGTTGGAAACTTTAAAAGGGTCGGTTCATGTAGCTATCTTATCTAATGAAATAAGTTGCAGTTCAAATAAAACAACCTGCAGAACTCAAAGAAATATGTATTATTTTTTTTAACCAACTTTAATCGCTTCGCACCCTACTAAAATCCCGACACTGAAACAGTGTATGAATGAAGCACTAAACATAAAGAAGTAGTGTGAACGGGTAGGCTTGATTTTGGTGATAGTTTATTTGATTCGAAATCATAGTCGTAGCCTTACTAACGCCTTGATGACCCGTACACGGCTGAAATAAATAAAACCACATTAGGTTAGAAATATCGTCTATCATCGGGAATAAGCTAATCAAGGTCACAGTAAAAGGGTGGACCGCAGTCCAGCGGCTTACGTTCTTTGAGTTTACGTTTATTTCTTCTTTATTCTTAGAATTATAATCTTTAACCAACTCATTCTTTTTTCTTTGTTTTTTTTTGGTAAAGTTTTTTTTTTTAATGAACAAATTTTATCGAGCGTGAGGTGACGGCAATAGCATAGGAAGTACACCCGCATAAAGGTGCTCTTTTCCCCATTTCATATGATTACTCTGAGAGATGTATTACAGCTGTTGCAGAACTTCCATAAATTCATTTCAAAGCGGGCGGAAGGCGGCGTAGAGTGGGCAGCTTTAAATTTTCTCATTTTTATGTCAGTGCATTCGAAAAAGAGAAACTGACCCCAGAATTTTGTAGTGGTCACCATTTATAAGTGGTTCCGTGCAATGAACTGTATGCGTCACTTGAATGCTTTGAGTCAGTGGGATCAATTCGAGTTATGGGTCCGGTTCAGCGGCTGAAGGTTTTTCACGCGTTTTTAGCTTATCCTCGTGTCGGCCCTCAAGGGGCCAAGTAGTCACAGTAGTGATGTAGTCATAAGTAGAATAGTCGGGCAGTCGTTTCTCCCGTTTCCCTCGTGAATTATTTCGAAACGAATCGGCATTTTCTGAGGTCACGCAGCAATGCCACATCCCGGATATGCCCAGGCGCTCCGGGGGACGTCGTTAATATCACCCGAGTCTGCCAGTTTACTGAATCGATGCGGCATTGTTATCAGTCGTTGTCTTAGAGCATTACATTTAGCTTAATGGAACACCCTTATCCCCGAATTTCGTTCGCCTGTTCGTTCTTCCGTGAGACTTTCTTTGAACTCCCGGTGAATTCGTATTCACATTTCTTTCATTGAACTTCTTAAATTTATATTTCTGCGAATAAGAGATTATATATGTTATCTTAATGTCTCGATATCTATACCCGATGGAGGTTTTCACACAACAGCAGTTTAGCGGTGAGCATCGGGTAAAGAATGCATGTCTCGGAAAATGGTCAGACATTTTACAGGTTGTCTCTCAATTTTACGCGCGTGATTTCCGAGTTGTACAATTTTACTCATATCCAGATTAGTTTACAATAAGTCCTTGTCAACTAAGTTTACACTTTGCTAATCGCGCCACACAGAGACAAGTGCGAGATAGAAAGGGTTCGCACGAACTTTGCCGCATACTGTACGCACGAGACAGTGAAAGAGGAGTCCTACTTACGTTTGCAAGTGCTCTCGCACTCTTCCAGAGTTGCAAACCTAGTCTTCGAATTATCCTTTAGCCAGTACCTCGAACGTTCACATGTGTTCGACGTCATGTTGTAGAAATACCTCACGTGGGTTCCCTTGGTCTGCTTCACCGCTGGTCTAAGACATTTCCGCGTAGGATTTTCTAGTCTGTCCAAACCTGAAGAGAAATAGATTTTCATCATTTTGGTTCCGATTAAAGCTGAATTCACGAGAATAAACACAAAGGGGGAAACCTCTCCAAGTCTATATCACCGCTAACTGAAATCATCAGCGCCTTAACTCTCATTTAGTAAACAATTTGGAGGTTTTGTGTTTACCTATACAATCCCGTCGAATCGATGTATCCAAAACGATTTGACGTATAATCAAAAATAAATATTCGACTACCATTAGGTATGTTTGCCATAGTTGCGCTTGACCGCACGGAATGTTTGTACAAGTTTAGTTCTAAAAGAGAACATTAATCTGTATTACGCTAGGTGGCTCCACCGATGGGAGGTGAGAATAAAGCAAGCTCGGTATATTTTGATATAAAATAAAGCGTTTCATTCGGTACCTGTAAGCAGTGGACAAGCCATTAAAATATGTGACCTATAGTTAATGAGAGCTTAAGGAGCGCTGGGCGTGGCAAATTTCAATAATCTTATCACCGCTCCGCAGTCAATTAGATTGACGCAGGAATCTCAACATAAAAGCCATGCCTTGCGTCCTAAAGCTGTATACTAGTGACTCTACAGCGTGCAAAGTAGCGCTTCTAAGCCACTCCCCGCAAAAATCGGTTTTATTTGGGGGCGCTGTTTAGAGGGCTCGGAACAAGCTCACATTGATGGGCTGCCAAGACCGGCAATTTTAATGGTGTGGAATGCACATTGCAAAAGAACTTTGGAAGTGCGCAACCAGCACGCGCTGAGTAGTCACGCACACAGCTATGGCCGCCAGTGAACACAACCTATTAGCGGCGAGATGTTTCGGTGGCGCCCTCCTATGGTTCCTTCTATCATTACCTTGCAAAGAACAAGTTCGATGATGTTTCTAATTAGCATGGTGGAAGCTTGAAAGCATATCGCGCTGAAACGAACATTGCCAAAACACCATCAAAAATGAAGTTCTTAGGTTACTCTTATTTCCGTCGATGAGAAAACCTTTGCTGACGTCATAGTCAACGTTTGGCCAATCGTAGAAGACCGACCACAGCGACGCTTTTGATCGCGCACGTCGCCGTTCAACCTCAATTAAGCTGAGACTCCAGGAAAGGCCACAAGCACGAGAGCTTGAGGTCGCTGCTTTGAAGCGTTCTTCCGCAGAACTAGCACTCGCGCTAGAAATACGCGCCTCAAAGCCAGGAGCGCGGGCTAGCTCGCGCTCGTAGCTACCATATGCTTACACAAGGTGGTGTAAGCATAGGGTGAAAATATCAACGGGTATACTCTTACCTCGTTCAAAAAAGAAAGAAAAAAAAAACTTGTTTTGAGCTATTTGCCGTTGTATTCGCACACGACGTTATCACCGGGCTGGCCTAGTTAAATTTGCCGCCAACAGATGTCGAGAGCGTCGAGTGCGCCGGCGCCGAGCTTAGCGGACAATCTTCAGGAACTATTCACTATGGCGGCGCGCGTCTTTCTGATGTTAAATTCTAATTGTGCGATAACTAGTTCATTAAAAATGAAGTTAATAAGAAACCAGGAATTTAAATCCCTCGTGGCTCCCTATTTTTGTTACGGAGATAACAACGGTCGAGGCGCTGTATTACTCTCGTTTCTCAAGTTACGCCACCTTTCGGGAGCACATACAACTAGACAAGCCCGGTCATGACGTCATCTGCGAATGCCGCGTGCAAATAGTCCAAAAAAAGGGTTTTATTATTATTATTTTTTTTAAGGTAAGTTCATCCATTGATATTTTCACTGCACGCCCCCACCACATATATAGGTGGTAGAGGCGTGGAGGTGGCGGCTATAGCCGCACCTGTGTAGTGAATCGCAGCGCGATACGTGGAAAAGTTGGTTTTCGCGCACCATCAAAAATGGATTAGAAGCGTTCATTTCCATGCTGTAGAGTCAATGATGCGAGCGGAAAGAGTCCGCGTCGTTTCGTACTTGTGCAGCTCTTCCAGCATTGCTCAGCCGTCGGGAATTTGTTGGGGTAGCCGCCGCAACCCCGGTGACCAAACTGCTCGCAGCGTTTGGTGGCTCCGTTGTAACCGAAGACGGTCTGGCTGTTCTGGTTTCCGCAAGGTCGGCCTCCGTTGATGGGGAAGTTGCACGGATCCTTCACGTGCTCTGCGTGCGAAACAATGAGGAGGATGTTTCACGTGATCACGCCGGGACGTCGCAGAATAGGTAACCTTCGTAGGAACGTTGTTCCGTTGCTCTCCAATGGGGATTAAGTTTCTTTTCGGTAATGTATACACGACTGTGGGTCGGCTCCCGAATGCCTACGCGGAGTGCGAGTCGTCTGCTTGTTGCGCGAGGGTTGCGGTGACGTCAGAAAGACAGCGAGCTCCGATTGGCTCTGACTGAAAGATAGACCTGGAAGCAAGCTGCCTTCTACCCAACATCTTTCTAATCGAGCCAATCGGAGCTCGGAGTTCTGACGTCATCACAACCCCTGCCAAAGAAGCAGACGAACTCCGCTCCCACTGACAGCTTAGAAAAGGCGGGCATATCACGTTCATGCTACTTGCTTCGTGATTGGTACGTCGTTGTTCTTATCCACAAATGCCGCAAGCTCATTGGCTGTGGAGTGATCATTAAATGCGAGGGACCCGCCCTGTGCTGCGTTTTATCAGCTTTCAGTACCCACGTAATTAATCCTGACATAAATTATTTATTTTTTCACTACGAGGAGAAGTCGGAACCTCTCGATTGGAACACGCAGCATGAACATGAAATTATTTTTATTGTTGGGGAACCTCCATTCTGTCGAATTAAACTCAGTTAAAAAAACACTTTTTGTTGCGTACAGCGCGTTAGGTGTAAACGGGAATACTTTTATTCTATCAAATGTCTAGTTAATTTTTACCATATATACAACATTATTTCGTTACAATTTTAACAAAAAAGTGATTTGTTTTAAGGCAACTATTCAGGCATGTGTTATCGCCACGAGAAAACGTACAATGTTTGTATTGTGTTCTCATAATGATAAAAAAGAGCCAAATTCGGTTCGTAAAAAAGGTCGGCGTAGCTTACTTGCACAAGTGGACCAGCATTCGTGTTTCTCGACGAAGTTGTTTCCGTTGCCCCCGCAGCCTTTGTACTCGAACTCTTCGCACTTCTGCCTCGCCGCATTAAAGCCGTACATCGGCATCGCTGTCCCCGACGGACAGCTGTGGCCTTCGTCGATGGGCGAGACACAGGGATCTTGTTCGAATTCTGGGAGAAACGCAGGTAGTAACCAGTATGCCATAAAACCCATAGTCGCAATAAAAATCTAGCTAGCATTAGGAATGTGTATGAACGAAACGTTTTAATAAAGCGTCTTTCCGTATGATATAGTAAATTCACGCGATCTTCGAGGAAGAGCTAAACACTAAGTTGAGATTAAATCAGATTAACCAACTTTGTAAATAACACTCGGATAAGCGATGGGACATTAAATAGACCTGCTAGCGGTTACCTGTCTCGGCATTTTTAAATACAAATGTAAGGTCACGCGTTTTTAAGAACTAAGAGTGTCACATGATATTTGTTTGCGATAGTTGAAGCAACAACGCCGATGCCATTTTGAGAAAACAAAACACAGCACTTACGCAATATTACCGAACTCGCATCTTATGATTCACTGTATTGCCATAGCAATGTTCGCCTCGTATAAATACCTAACAACAAACCCCATCTAAGCATTAAGAACTCAACAGCAAACCATCCAAATAAAGGCCCACGGCTTTCTTCTATTGCAACATAAAAAAAAAAAAAAAACAGAAGTACCAAATAAAGTGTGACACTTCATTTCATAAAGGTATCGCTTTCACTAAACGGGTTCAAGATTGTGAAACTTGTCGTTCGGTGAGAGTTACGTTATGGAGCATCCACAGCTTAAACACCTCGGAAAACGGTTGGATGGACGCATTTTTGTCCAATAAAACCCGACTCGTGCCATAAAGTAAACTAGCATGGAAGCATAGCTGCAACCACTTGGGCAAAGGGGGAGACCTTACTCTGACATTTGGCGTGGCATGCTTCGAGCGTTTCGAAGAGCCCATCCTTGGAACCGCAGCCTCCGTAAGAGAACCATTCGCATCGCATTTTGTCAGGATTAAACCTGTACATGCGGATGTTGCCTCGGCACACATTCTCCGGCTCTGGGGCGGCGCAGTCTCCCAGCACGGGATCTGCAATTGACGGGGTCCGAGTTTCACACCCTTTACACGCGAGTATATATTAGCCAGTTTTAGAATAGCGTACCAAAAAGATTTCGCTTAGGCAATGAAATAAAGTCATCGCCACGCGCCAATCCAAATCGCGGTTTCGGCCCCGCGCATGCGCAATGGCTACGACGCTATTCCTCCTACGTACGAGATTCGTTTAGGTATACGCTATTCTAAAGCTGTCTATAGAGGTAAAATATGGGCATATCGCAGGAAGCAAATCCTTTTGACTTTCGCAACAACGCAAATACATTAAAGTATAATTCAAACGTTCTAAATCGGAAATATTGATTTTTTTCCCCTTCGGGCGTTCATATGATTTGTACCAATGTTGCGCTTTTGTTTCACCTATACTCTCATTAAGCTGCTCCATCGATACTGCTCCCCAAAAAGACTCTGAATAGAAATTAGTACTGTCACTGACAACGCAAGAAATGCAGGACGTCATGACAGCCGAACATCCCCTGATCGGGGCGATCAGATGATGTTCGGCTGTTAGCAGTTAATAAGAGTGCGGGATAAGCCAATATTTAATACATATATATATATATATATATATATATATATATATATATATATATATATATATATATATATATATATATATATAGAATGGCTATGCCATGCATTTCCTACGCTGTAAGTGAACGAACTATTCCCTTATTTTGATTAACCAATACGAAGAATGTGAGCTATCTCGCTCGAACGGTCATGCGAGCCGTGATGGGACAACATTCGACCACCCGTTTCGTTGCGGGAGATATTTGTGGTCATTACGGCCTGATGAAAATAATCCATCTCGTTAAGTGAATCAATTAAAAAAGACTCATGATTGGTGTTTCAAGGACTTCGCGGGGCGCTATGTTTTCATAGATTTCTGAAAGTGGATAAGTACAGGGTGATCCTCCCCCCCCCCCTCTCCCCCCCCCCCCCCTCGCCAAAAAATAAAATTACAGTTTTGTTTTTAGCGCGAAAATAAACCACGCATCGCTAAACGCTCATTCCCCGTCCAAATGCGGAGAACCAAGCAGTCCCAACCAGATGCCAAAGTTTCAGCACTAACAGTTATTTTATTGAAAACTTACAAGTGATTGCTTTACATTTTCAATGGAAAATTGGCGGGCGACAAAGCTCTCGATTACATGGAGGTGATTAGCGCCCAATACCAAAAAACGTGCGAAAACGGGCCCCATTTTTCATTAAAATGTTCAGAATATCACATATAACATTTGAATGAGATAACAGTTAATGCAGAAATTCCGGCATCTAGTTAGGACTGCTAGCGCTGCATTTGATCGGAGAATGAGCGCTGAACGATGCGCAGTTTACTTTTGAGGTAAGCATGTCTTACAGCGGAGTTGTTAAGGGCTAGTTTCCCCAGGATCGTGTCCGCCAGCAAACAAATAATGACACAAAACCCTGGACAGCTACCGCCATCTATAAGCAACGGCGGCAACCAGACAATCTGGTTGCCTGCGTCGCTCATAGATGGCGGTAGCTGTCCAGCCTTTCCACTCTTGCTAGTCGACTTGCGGCCAGCCGTTACTTCATTCCCACCATAGTACAGCTTCGCTGGTCTTCCTTCTTCACCAAAGTAGAAAAGCTGCAAATTGTTTTCTTTTCTTTTTTTTTTTTGGGGGGGGGGGGGGGGGGACACGCTGTACTTGGAGAGTGTATAAATAAACTCGCCGTCATTTTCCAATATTTAAAGGGAATTTTATCTAGAAGCCTCGATTGGCTAACTTGACTTGAAGCTGGCGTGGCGTCCCTGATTAATAAGCTTTCTAAGGTGTCTGTCATCACTCAGCGGACAAAATGCCCACGTGTGCAGATCCAACCCACGGTGGGGTTCTGGAAAAGCTAACTTGAGCTATGCTAGCCAACGTCAAAACTGGATTTGTAGGCGAGATAAAAATAACAGCGAAGATAAGATAGTGCGGAAGCTCGTTAAAGTCAAGTGTGAACGTAATAATAATAATAAAAACAATAACAACACTTATGGCAAGCTTACTCGAAGTGTGCGGCTCGCTCTCCCCACTTGGTGAATGGAGTAGATACTTTCAGAAACTGAACTCCCGCCGATCCTTCCTTGCAGAAACCGAACCCCCTTCGTCTCTATAGTGTTTGTCACCAACACACGAGCAACAATGGCAGTTGCCGTTTCTTGGCCGCGAAGTGTGGGATTGGATCCAAGTGCCCGCCGAACCCTGACACAGTCCTCGTGTCCAGTATATGCTCAAAGCAAGTGCTCAAACAATAGCGGACTCTGATACTTATAGTGCTGTAGCCACCAGATAGCGCGCACTTTTGGAAAGGGTCGATCGGTTGAAGCGTCCCCCTTTGTGCACTCCGCGGCTATCACTCTAAGAAATGCCTGAGCGTCTACCTACCCGCAAAACACTCGAAGAGCCAATCTCTGCGATCTACGAAATCAGCTCAGCGAATCATGAGGCGGAACATCCGTTTGGACCTAAAAATAAAATTTGCTCTGTGGCATTACGCAATGCAAAGCGTCATGCTTGCATTGGGTGATGCCACAGCGCAGACTTCTTTCTGAGGTCGAATCGGATGTTCCGCCTCCTCATTCGCTGGGCTGATTTCGTAGATCGCAGAGATTGACTCTTCGAGTGTTTTGCGGGTAAGTAGACGCGCAGGCATTTCTTAGAGGGTATACAAAAAATTTATGGTAACGCCACTTAGGCTAAAAGGAATGAAGTCCATCCGTTTTAGTACTGGCTCTATACGATCTTTGATAATTATACTAATTTCTTAAGTATTTACTAAATTTAATTTAGTACAAATACAGGCAAATATCTTTCTTTGAAAAGCCTGATTGGGCGTTTTTTTTTTCCTTCGTGGATTTTGTTGAAACGTGAAGGATAATGACGCTGTCCTCTCACCTCTGCACAGTTTCTTACAAAACTTTCCGTTTTTGAATACGTTCTTGTCCCACATGATGTCCCCGCACAGCGGAGTTGTACGCGGCTCGCAGTTCTTTACAGTCTCGTTGTAGAACCAGAGTGTGGCGCTCTTTTCGCAGCCTCGCACGAAGGGCGGATGCTGGTCGTAGCAGCGTGCCGTGCTTTTCTTGTCGTCTTCCGAAGAAACAGCTGGAGCCAAAGGAAGTCCTATTAGGTCGCTTATGGAAAGGCAACACATTTAGGTTACGAGTATTTTCTGACCGTCCTGTACCGTACTTTCCGAAGTTTAGTCAGCGAAATATACGAGTTTAAAAGTTGAAATTGAACTCGATATGGATTATTTGTACCGATACAGATTACGAAAGAATTTGTTTTCTCTAGGTGTTTCATAATCTTTGACGTGAAAGAATTTTGGGAACGACAGAGTATTTCAAAGCGAACCTTTCGGTAAGCATCTAATTGGTTAGGAATTGTTAAAATGGAACAAAACAAAAATGTAAACGCCTTAATTTTGAAAATCCCAACGTTTCAAGGCCAGTTTGGTCCCTGGATCACGGGCGACTGTTTATGTCAGAACTTTAAAATGCGACAAAAGACAACCTGCACTTGGAAATGCAACAGTCGCACCGGGTGATTTCTGACACCAGGCAATTCGAAAATGATGACACCTGGCACTTTGAAAGACGACGACAGGGGCATAAACAGTCACCCGTTATTAAGGGGCCGAGCGGCCCTTGCAACGCCATGGGTTTTTAAATTTCTGACTGTTCGAATGTTTTTTTTTTTTTTTCAGTTCTACGACAGACTATATTAATGGTGAGTTATGTACTATACAAACAGACCTGTATGGTACTCCTTCCAAGTAATAAAAAAAAAACTTGCAATCGATTACTTTCTGGAGTAATTTCGTAATCGTTTGACCACTTTTATTTAGTAGTAATCGCAAGAGTAATCTCAATACTGTTGGAACTACGAAAATAACTGTTAACTGTTACTATTGCCTACCACTTACGGTGTCTCCTGTTTGTACAAGTTATCGACCAAGGAATCCTCGAACCAAGTCCCCGAGAGGCGGAGGGTTCACGAAAAATGGATGGATTAAGAAGATACGTAGTTTATAGTTCGGTGATTCTAATCCAGTAATGGACAGTTCAAATGACCCATTTGTAAACCTGCAGAGAGAGCTGTGGTTTCGAAAATCTGAAGTAATCCTAAATGTAGGGGTTACTTATTGAGCTAACGGCCGATAACTTCTTCTCAAGTAATAACATAATCTAATTGAACTCTTTTTCACCAAGAGTAATTGTAATTGTAGTCGATTACTTTTTTTTGAGTCACGTGAACACAATACTTTTTTAAAAGCTTTTTCGTTTTATACATAAATCGATTGGAAGTTTTATATATTTTGTTCGTATAACCATTTTGACTTCCGTCCCAGAGGCCCTCCCGCCATTGTAATATCGCATGGTGCTTTAGGCACCGGAACAGATTTGCGAGCTTATCAGGTGGAAACTTGTAAATCCGTGGAAAATATTTTTTGTGCAGAGTAGGCACCAGCTATGAACTATCCAACAAATATGTAAGACGCAGTTCTTTTCTTCTACGATCGAATTTGTTTTATATATATGGGTGGTTTCATCTCAAATCGTGCAGGCAAAAAGGGTCGAATTTTTAATTTCGATGAAAAAAATATATGTTATGGCGCCGTTTCTAAAACCGCAGTCGACACAAACCGCAAGTTCGTCGGATTTTTTGTTCTCGACTTATGAATTTTTAAAGAGGCCGCGGCGAAAAGCAGTGTTTTTCACACCCGTCGTGGGTCGGATGTTTCGCTTGATCTCCCGCCATGGATTTTCAGTCCACATTATATTATCTTTTTTGAAGCACTCTGTGGACACATTTAAAAGGCTCCAATACCATGAAATAATTTTAGGCATTTTGCTTTTTTTCTGTAAAAATGTCAAAAACGCCTCCTCGGTCAATTGTTGACGACTTTGACAATTAATTACTGGCGATCTACTTGGTTTACACCGATATTTTTTTATGTCCACGGATAGCCCAAAACACGCTCTTTATATTTATTATAAAATGCCTTGGCTGTATAAAATATCCTTTGCGGTACGTTTACTTTAATATTATGAAAAAACGAAAAAGTACCATTTTTAAAATTGATTTTCTCAAAAAACCCATTTTTTATTTTTTTTATTTTTTTGCTCAAATGTAGATGTGATAGTTGTCTACACGAAAATCAAGCCTAGAACGTGTATATTTTGTTTGTATGTTCTACATTTAAGATTCAATATCGTACAAAAACGTGTTTTTACGGCTCGAAATGGACTTGCGAGTTGCGCGTCTTCACAAGCTTGGAAATAGTTTTTTCTTTTTTTCAACGTTCCCAGATAAAAATGAAATACAGTATTTCCACCCTGATATATTTATTGATTATTTAAATTTTATTATAGGCGGAAAGCTACATCGGAGGAGTTCCAAAAAGAGAAAGCAACATTTCTTAACAGACCAGCAGGTGTCGTAAATTTTTAACGTGTAGGAGTCGGCAGACGTCTTATTGATTCGGGGCCCTCATTGGCCTGCATGAACGTCCCGCCCTTTCGGAGCCAGCAGATGACCACGACCTTTCGCGCTCGTTGTGTTAGATGGGACGGCCCGTGACAGTAAAGCGAGCAGCGCACCCTATGTCACGAGGAGTGAAATGGTACGATTGTGTCGTTGACGCGGCGAACAGTGACAGCCACCCAGGAGGAGTCAGTCAGAGTATTGCACAAGGGAAAGCAAAGGAATCGTTGCCTGAAAGGATGAGGACACCACGGCCTTACAATGTCGACGGTCAACAACTGTTCTGCCAGCCAAAAAAACGCCGCGTGCGCGCTACAAACCGGCGGCGCGGGACAGAAATCCCGCAGACGCACACACGAAGATGGGCCGGTTTCGTTAGGGATGTGGGGAAATTTGAAACCAGCCATCCGTGCATGCGTGAAACGATACCGCCTGTTTGCCCTAGCTTCGAGCGCCCTATCCTTACCTTGAAACGGCCGTGCTCTCTCTCTCTCTCTCCGGGGAGATCCGATAGCACCGAAGGGTTATCTGTTAAACTTGAGGAAGAAAACGAGAAGGGAGTGTTTAAGTTTAATTATCCACCCGCTCGTTCTGTCCTTACAAAGCGTTATCTCTTTTGGAAACAGCAAAGCCCGGAGACTGACATTAAAACGAGCGAGTTGGTAAATATACTTGTGTTTGTATTCTGCCCGGAGACTATAGTTGGGTCGAAGTCAGCTTCCTTGTCAACTATAACCGTTTGTGAAGAGTGGGCTTCTCCCGAGATGAAACGTTAGCGCCGGCTGACGTGTTCTTTTGAAAAAGGGAGGGGGAAAGAAAAAGTTTGAGTAACTGCAGAAACTACCTCGAAAGCTCCTCTCCCGATGTGAAGCTTGAAGCATAGTCTCGGTTACCTTCTCGCGCATCGCCTGCTCGAATCTATTCTTCACTTTCTTTCGTACAGCCACTGTTCCGCACAGCCGTCGTGGATGTGCGTAATAGAGGGAGGAACAGATTCGAGCATCATCTGGACGCCGTCATCCTGCCAGACTTCAATGTCGTGGGGCCGACTCGTGTGAGTTTCTTCGCCCCGCTGAACTTTGTTTCTCGAGTGCGGTTTTTTCTGAACGTTTTTTTTTTTTCAATGTTTTCTTACTAACTGTTTGTTAGCACTGTTCAGTTGTTGGGTTTATTTCGTCATGGCGTAGCGGCCTGGCGGTAATGTAGAGAGCGTGTTCGCACGCATTTGGTTGCGTCCCGTTTAGGGAATGCCCGGGGGAGTCGGTTTTTGTTCTTGCCATGTGCGGCTGAGTTTTACCGTCTTTATTAAATTATTGATTTTTTTTTTGTTTTACCTTTACGTGCCGTCGACTTCTTTGTCTGACTCTCCACCAGGCGTGGACCTGTCGCCTTGCCACCGCTCGAACCTGAATACTTTATTTTCTTTTTAACGCAATTTTCGTTAAGATCGGAGTTGGGCAATCTAATTCCTATTTATTTATTCTTATTTCCTACCCCTCTCCATGACACACTCTCTGTGTATTTCGGACCGTTTCTGTGTCACCACTTTTGTGTATTACGGAAGTGAAAGGACATTCCCTGGTGACCTGTGCGATGTGCGGTGAACAAGCCCCATTGTTTGGTTTCGTAAAGAATTGTATATAATATATCGACGATGTGGTGACTTTCTTTGTCTTAGTAATATGACAGCTAATAGCTAGTCGTGCTAGTTTACTTTGAAAGGTTTATAAATCGAAACGATACAACGTCTGTGCCTTTTGGTTATTGAAAGTCTACTAAGCCTGCTGATTTGGTTAGATATGTATCTCATGGTTCCCGCTCTTATCAAAACATACATAAATATTCAATACCACAAAATCCGTTTATAATTGATTACAAAATGCAGAAGAAAATTCAAGAAAACTTTTTCACAATTCATAGAGACGCATGGGTCGCTATGTCTGACTTAGGTCTTGCAAAACAAAGACGTCTTTTTCCGATATTGAGGCCTAAATATAAAACATGCAAACAAAATATACACTTTGTAGGCCTGATTTTCATGTACACAACTATCATATCTACATTTGAACAAAAAATAAAACAAATAAAAAATGGGTTTTTTTAGAAAATAAAGCCCAGTTCTCCATAGACAAGAATTTTAATTGCTTGGAGAGGTTCAATCCAAAAAAAGTGAAGGCAAAAGCACTCCAGCTGTGCAGCAGGCTAGATCTAAGCCAATTGAGAAAACAGATAAACACTGCTAAAAGTGATCAATTGGAAATGTTTTTCACCGCCAAAACTCACAAAGAGGGTTGCCCTTTTCGTGTACTAGTAACTGAACGAGGATCTTGGCAGGGAGCTATGTCCCAATTTCTTTTACGCCACCTGAACAGCCTCAACATCTATGACCCTTTTCTAATTCCAAACTCAGAATCTCTGATAGACTACCTTAAATCAAGTGCTTCAACAGTAAAGTTTGGACTCTCCCTTGATGTGGAGGACTTGTTCTACTCGGTCCCTCACGCAAGAATGTTTGAAGCAGTCAGCGATTGCATAGAGGCTAATGGAACTGTGTCATTTCAAAATCAATGTGGCATACCATCCGAATCTTTCATGGAACTCCTTAGGTTCTACCTCACATCTACCTTTGTAACTTTTAGCGGCAGTACTTACATCCAAAAGAAAGGGATTTGCATTGGCTCCTGTGTAGCACCTGTCTTATGCGACATTTTTCTTTCCACCTGTGACAGGGCAATAGCCCAGAGCCTTCCCACAAACCTTGTAACACGTATCTTTAGATACGTCGATGACTATCTCGTTTTACTTTCCATCGGACCTGACCAATATGATTGTGCTACATTCAACATCATAAGCAACAGTTTCATGACACAAGCTCAAGGACTCAAATTCACACATGAGTTACCTACTAATAGCAAGCTTCAATTTTTAGATTTACAACTGTCCTTTGAAAAATCGCACACTTGGTGGACTTATGCACCACGGTCCAAAAAAAGACTCCTACCTTTTGATTCTGCCCACTCCAAGATCATCAAAAGAGGAATAGTGCAGAGCTGCTTCAAAGCGGCCCTGCACAAGTCCTGTGAACACACGGCTAAGCGCAGTTTCGAAGCACAAGTGCAGAGGCTGCAGGATTCTGGATACACCAATTCATTATTGTTTGATGTAGCAGAATGTCTGACAACTCCCAAGGGAAGAGGACAACGAAATTGCAAGAAAACGCGACCGGCAGTGATACCCTACTTCCACAACATATCACACAACTTCAACCGGATAGGCTCAAAGTATGAAGTACCAGTGGTACTTTCAGCTCCAAACAAACTAAAAAAATTGTGTCCTAAGATTAATTCGCAAAACGAAAATAACAACAACTGCACCGTCAAGCATACGCACAAGTACGTCAACTGCAACATCAACGTAGTCTACGAAATTCCATTCACATGTGGAAAAGTCTACGTCGGACAATCTGGGCGCTGTGTGAACGTGAGACTTCGAGAGCATCACCTTTCTCTGAAATCATCACCATCGGGACATCTCGCCATACATGTCCGTGACTGCCACTGCACACCCATATTCCAACAGACTAAGATCCTCAAGCATTACCATAGAAAAAGATCCCGAGAACTCTATGAAGCGAAAACCATATTGTCTCTCGGGGGAGCTTGCATAAGCGCACCATCAATAGCGCTGTCCGAGAAAGAGATGAGATACCTCGACCTTTTTCCTTAACGCGGGTCATTTTAGTGTTTTCTAACCTTATCTTTGCCCTACTGATTTTGTTTATATTTATGCTTTTTATTACATTTTTTCGCTAGTGTCAAGGGGTAAGATTTAGTTTAAAAATTTTTTTAATGCGTCTATAAACTATAACAATAATTTTTTTCTTCTTCTTTTTTACCTTCACATGCCTAATTCTTCTTTTATGTCTTCCTCGGGGAATGCATTAAACTTCCAGTTGGAGTAAGCGCTCTGTCCTGTCCCCTCTTCTTTTCCTTGGTGTTTGCGCTTTTGAATTTTTATATAAAGAGCGTGTTTTGGGCTCTCCGTGGACATAAGAAATATCAGTGTAACCCAAGTAGATCGCCAGTAATTAATTGTCAAAGTTCGTCAACAATTGACCGAGGAGGCGTTTTTGACATTTTTACAGAAAAAAAGCAAAAGGCCTAAAATTATTTCATGGTATTGGAGCCTTTTAAATGTGTCCACAGAGTGCTTGAAAAAAGATAATATAATGTGGACTGAAAATCCATGGCGGGAGATCAAGCGAAACATCCGACCCACGACGGGTGTGAAAAACTGCTTTTCGCCGCGGCCTCTTTAAAAATTCATAAGTCGAGAACGAAAAATCCGACGAACTTGCGGTTTGTGTCGACTGCGGTTTTAGAAACGGCGCCATAACATATATTTTTTTCATCGAAATTAAATATTCGACCCTTTTTGCCCGCACGATTTGAGATGAAACCACCCATATACATATGATGCAGAATTTATAGTGCTGAAGCTACGGTATTTGGTTTCTTTCAGCTTAAGCTACAGATTTTTTAGGTTTGCTCGGCTAGTGCGAATGGGAATGCTCAAACTTACCCGCTCCCAGCAAGGCCAACAAAGCGAGGAACTTGAGTGCCATGGTGACTCCAGAAAGAACGTGGTGCACCCTTTGTCGCCTGGTGAGCTGCCGAAGCAGTCCTCAGTCGCCGATTATAAACCGCTCTGACCACGAATGGTCAAGGTGGAAGAGCCGCGCGTCAATCATCTTATCCGGAACTCGGCGATTCCGTCACAAAGTGACGCTATCAGAAAAGGTAAACAGCCAGCTTGGCTGTTCTCACCGGTTTTTTATATGTTTTGTTTTTGGTCAATGAACTAGTACTGCGCTTTTCTTTGTGTAGACATCTCTCAGCGGTACCTATTGTTTTCCACGAAAGAACAGAGTTACGAAATCGCGAGATTGGACCTTTCCATTTTTGTGGTTGGTTCATATCAGTGACATTTTTGCTGACACCGTATGGTATTACGTCATCTGGATTCTTCTGACACTACACTCTAAAAAATGTCTGTGCGTCTACTTTCACGCACAACACTCGGAGAACCAATCAGCGCAACGTACGGAGGCCGCTCAGCGAATGACGATGCGGAAACTTATGTTTAGACCAAAAAACGCAGTCGGAGTTGTGACATTAAGCGATGCAAAACGTCACGCTTGCATTGCTTAATGTCACAACTCAGACTGCGTTTTTTTTTTTTTTTTTTGTCTAAACATATGTTTCGGCATTGTCATTCGCTGAGCTGCCTCTGTAAGTTGTGCTGATTGGCTCTCCGAGTGTTGTGCGTGGAAGTAGACGCACAGACTTTTTTAGGGTGTATAGGTGTAAATTTTGCTAGATGACTAAAGGGTTATCTAGCAAACCCGGAATGTTCTGCTCTAGTACGTTGAGCACTTGCTATTACACTTCAAATCGACTTGAGCAACGCATTTAGGTGTCGGCCTCATTTGAAAAGATACCCACTGGCAGACTCGAAATGGTACAAGTGTGACATTTTAAACAAAATCCCGAGACTGGGGGGAAAAGGGACAACACGACACGAAGTCTCAAACACAGCTTGAGCTGTGTTTGAGACTGCGTTGTCCTTCCTCCCCCCCTCCAGTCTCGGGGTGTTTTGTCTAAAATGTTAAACCTTCACCAGCTTGTTTGCCCCATAACATTTTGTAGAGTGTGACAATTTGTCGCCCACCGTCGAAAAGAGCGCCGCATTGCTCGGTTTCGTGAAGTCTACAGCAACTCCAAATAAAGGTCCAGTTTTAACGCATACACAAAACGGTGGACAACCAAAGAAGAAAACTTCAACAACCACGATCGAGTGGTGTCGCGTGAGTATAGTCTAAAAATCAACACAGAAAGTCTAAAAGCGCCATATTCACACTTAAAAATAAACACGCAGCTTTGAATTACGGGTTTAGTATGGGTTCCTGTCGACTCAATATAATTAATAAGTACAACGCTTTCCATGCATTGTTTTCGAATCGCATTACCTCTCTGACACAGATCGACCAGTTCGCTCTTTCCACATTTCCCCCGCTTTCTCCTCTCCCCCCTTGTACCCTGTCCACCGTTGCCTGTTTTGTCCTCCCCCACGGTGAGGAAAATCTTCTGCCTTGCAGAATCTCGAGTCTGGTCGTCGGCCTTTAAGAAGTGTCAGAAGGCAGCTTCTACAAATGTTTGACTGAAGTCCGGAAATCGTTGCGCCCCCCCCCCCCCCCCCTTTTAAGTGGGAAAAATGGAATTTGTGCATTGGTGACGTAACATCAATTCACCCGCTAAATTTAGCGGGGAAATGCACGGACGAACGGACGGTAAATTTTTTTATGAAAGTAATATAATACGTTAGAGACATTCCGTGCCCGTGACGTTACCTTGGCAGGAATCCGAGGCCGATTTCCTTATCTGAGGGGTGCAGAACAACCGAACCGCAAGTTCTCAGAGGTTAGTTCTGCGTTTCCATTTCGGCGCCGGAGGTGGTATGGAGTTAACGATTTCGACCACACCGTCGACGACCCGATATAACACTTTTCTCGTTCGCTTCCAATGAGTTGCCTAGGATATAAAAAAAAAAAGAAAAAGAAAGTCAGGTTAATTTTTTTTGCGAGATATTCACTGCACTATACGTCATGCTAAAAAAAACTCGGGGTAGAAAACGGTTAGGAATCGCAATTTCATATTCAGACCGAGTTCCTGACATGGTAATATAGCGGGGATTATTTAATTTGGTAAAAACAATAAACAACAAAGAACTAAACCCAGCAAACTGGTTTCAGATATCGCAAACTTATATAAGAGTTTCTTATCAATGTGTACCAGCCCGAAACGTGCTCGAAACAGCTGACGCTGAAATTCCATCGCCGCAATCACTGATTAGGTTTAACTTCCGTTTGCAGAGTTCCGTTTTGCTCAGACCCGTGTGCCTTACAGCTCTCTTACGGCGAGAGAAGACACTGGCACTCTGGCACCACCTATGACCTGGCCGCGGAAGTTCATTTCACTAGAGAGAAGGTTTCGCAATATTTACGAGATTCAAGTACTATCTACGGGAGATGTTCATTTCTAGCATTGGCAAAAGTTGTTCGAGCCAATAAAGAAAGAATAATGCGGAAAAAAAAAAAAAAACAGGCAACATACACAATTGCCAAGCGTTCCACTTCTTCCCGATAGATGGCGCCAATGTGACCTCTCGTCGTTGGAGATTTTAAGAAGTTTTAAGTCACACGGTGGTGCGCACTCGGAAGTGTGTGAACCTGCCTTTGGGGTATGTTCCTTTATATATACTTAACTGAAACTGCAGGATGAGTATAAAATTTACAAAATGATTAAATGAAGCGCATATAAACGGAAACGTAAAATATCAGCCAAGAGCCATAGAGAGCTGCAGGGATGGCCAGTATTACAAATACAAGTATTTGAAATACGTATTTCAAATACTTTGTGTATTTTGCATTTGTATTTAATTACGAATTGGCTAATGTATTTGACGTGTGTATTTAAACACTAAAATGTAGGTATTTCAAATACAATTGTAATTAAATAAATATTTTTTGGGCGAAAATACATCCCTCAAATTTATTGTCACTGTCCAGAGCAGGAAGAAAACTACGTTCTGCACCGAATGCAATGTCTCTCAATCAATCACAAGCGTTTAGTGACTTTGTGATTACGGTGCTAGTCGAGGGCAAGAATAGCGACGAAATCGACGTTCACAGGCAGACTGGCTAAATAAGTGCCTGTGACAACTTGTGACGCTTTCCAGCCTGATTTCCATCCATATTTTTGCCTGGAACATTCTAAATGTGCGGGTCGTCCATATTTTCGTAACTGGTGCGAGTTGCAACAATAAAAAATTCTCTAGCTAGTGCTGCGCGTCTTGGTCGTCTCGGTTCTTTGTTGGTCTATACCAAAATGTAATCGACAAAAAAAGCTGCTTGAAGCTCTGTACTTTTTTCACCTATTACGTCCAAGCTGATTACATTTTTTTGTGATTATATTTATATTACGTTACTAGAGCCTCGCACACTAACTCCCGAGTGTGCGATGCAAAATTAAAATGAGATTCCCAGAAACCCGTTGCAGGTGCCCTGAAGTCGCTGACGCAAATTTTGAGGAATGTATTTGGAAAAGTATTAGGAGGAGACCAAATACATTTGGTTGTGTTTGTATCTTGTACTTAAATGCTTTTTTTGGGAATGTAATTAGATTTGTAATTAAATACATTTTTGACGAAGTATTTTGGATTTGTATTCCGATACATATTCGCGTGTATTTTGCCCATCCCTGGAGAGCTGTAACACCATGGTTATTGACAACCTAAGAAACTTGCTCTGGGATTGGTCTGTTGGGGTTCCTATTGGCTAATGTCACACTCCCATTGGCTGAGTAATGAGATACTCGGAATTCAACGCCCGCACCCCCCCCCCCCCCCCGACTTCCGGTTTTTAAGCTGTTAGGAACGTTACTAGAACAACCCATTTTACATTTTCTAAGCGAGAGCTAAAATGAATAAGAATAAAATTTGTCTCTCTACCTGCACCACCAGACTTTATAACTGGTTTAAACCAATTAGAATAAATAAATATGGTCTAATATGACTTTAAGGAAAATTTTGATTGAAAATCCAATCAACAAAGACCAAACCAGTTGGGAAACTGCCATAGAACCCTGCTTTGAAAAGGTGGCTCGGATCCGCACTCGAGAACCGAACTAGACGCGATCGCAACGCCGCCATTTCACCCGCAGCGGCCACTTCAAGAACTGCACGGCTCGGCACTTCTGCACGTACGTGTCCAGTCGAGTCGCGCAAGGGCCGGTGGCGCCAGACTTTCTGTAGTGCTACCGGAAGCCAGAGTTGCGCGTCTGTTTTCCAAGCGCCGATCAGAATCGATGACGTAAAAAGCAAAAAAAAAAAAAAATTTCGCCGTGCAGGAAAGGCACCGATACGGTCGCTTCGCCGACGTTGCACGCGCCTTGGCGTATGTTCCCCTGCATTTGCCTATTTCTCCTCCTTTCCTGTCGTCCATGCGCTGCTCTTTGACGAATGAAGTCACGTGACGAGCAAAGAATCCCTGGCCGTGCAGGAAAGCCGGCGCTACGGCCACAGCCGAGGAGGAACGCTCAACTATAGCTTTCGTAGGGAGCCTATACAGGAACTCTAGGTGGCGCCAGAGCCGTTTATACTGAAAGAATTTGCCCAATGGGCGGAGCTCGCTGCCAGCTAGGCCCAGCGGATTTCGCGATAACACAAAATGGCGTTACTTCTTTGTCTAGTTTATTCCTGAGAAATCGCATAGAGTTACCATCACTAAGAGCCACAAAATGGCGGACGGAAGTAGTCATCCCCCGGTTGTCATACTTCGCTGCTGTGGTTGCCAGGCTTTCAATATCTCCTATAGAAGGCCAAACTCACTCAGTATAAACGGCTCTAGGTGGCGCCATCCCGCAGCGGCATCTCGCAGTGGCGATATAAAGCAACTTCCGTGTTTCGACTCGCCGCTAAACGGTGGCACGGTGATCGCATCTAGTTCGGTCTCGGTCTTCGCGAGAGTTCCGGGTTTTGAGGCTGAGTTTCAAAACTGAGTTGTAGTAACTTTGACTGTCAGTGAATATCAATTAATATAAACGTCTCCTTTTTTGATCCGATATGTTTACATGAGATTACAACGCACGGATATGTGTGTGTGCGCAAAGGAGTCCCAACGTCAATCATAG